GATGTCTATTAATCCGGCTCAATTGTAATATTGTACAGTAATTATGTTAAAGTATGAACGTTACAAGAATTAGCGAAAGATCTATGAGATGAAGAATTGGTTTTGCTTCGAATTGCTTCTTGCTGCTAGGAATGCTAATTCTGTTTTGGTGGGTTTGTTGTTCTCATTATCTGCTTCTTCTTTTGGAAACCCTAGATGCACTTTTCAATTTTTAGATGTTTATATCGAAGTCATATGTTGTAATGCTGTTAGTGTGTACTTTTTAAAATAGTTGTGAACTTACGAATCTGATAATCATAGTTTAGGTGTTAGGATCGTCCTTGATCAACCGGGAGTCTACTGCCCTGTTCAAACCCTGGGAGAATACAGTTTATCAAGACTGATATGACGGAGTGTGGATGTACAGTATGGGAGACGTATGAAGAACGGTAATGATTTTTGTGAATTGGGGAAGATGGCTTTTCGAAGAACCTTCCGAGAGTAAGAAAATCCAATTTGTTGGTTCTTGTTCTTGTGAAAAACAGAAGATTTCCAATGATGTTAGTGCTGTAGTTTTCCCAAAGTTGAGAAGAGGCTCTGTTCGATGTTTCTCCAGAGAGTGGATGATCATTGGACATGCTCATCGTGTAAGAAGCTGAGTGTTCAATATTCAATACTATGGCTTGGGTCAGTTTTGTAACTTAATCTGATCGATAAGGTTAGCATTTTCATTTTGAAAGTTACCACATTTGTATCATTACAACATATTACAAGATGATTTATCAAAATGTTAACTCAGTTTATATCAACTAAGCAACAAGCTTACTCGTGCTTATGATGTCATATGTGTACAGAGAGGAGCTTGTTCATGCTTCGATTCACAAACCCTGTCTAGAAACGTCGAGGAAACTGAGAAAGCTGTTTCTCTTCAGAAAAAAAAAGAAACAAAAGCGTTATGTGATTAACAATCATACAGTCTTATTCCTTTCTCAAGTTGAAATTCTGTATCGAGTTGCAAGAATGTATCCAAACAAGCCCGTGGAGTGATGTAACCTCTGCTCTCATTAGCTTTGTAAAATTAAGATGTTTCCTCTGTCTCAAGAAACAGAATACTTCTACTAGAGATATCACAGCCAAATATGGATAAGTACTCGATATCAGTGTTATTATTACTATAAGAGCGTATTTACCATTCTTAATAAACTTTCCCATCTTCCTCGAGAGCCTGCGTAATAGCTCTACACCCTCTGACTTCAGCTGTTGTCAAACCAATACATTCCTTTCATCACAAAGTTCATATTATTAAATACATGGGTAGAACAATACATTTTTAAGAAAATGTAGAAAAGTCGTCATTAAGAATAGTAACACCACATGAGTTTTGACTTAACAGAAAGATCGTTGAAGGAGTATTGGAGAATCATGCAATATGGTTTACTTCTGCTAACGCTTTTCAAAACACACCACGAAAATTCTTTATGGAATCGTTGAGTGTTTTTTGAACATTTGTCAAGCGTTTTACTCTTCTTTTCATGAAGTATACAATCTTAGATTGTATTTATTGGTCTTGATTAGTTATCGGGACACAGTTGAAAGAATTGTGTTCAATAATGCGATCTTCTCTGAGTTATTGATTGATTTTGAGAAAAGTTTCGCGTTCTTACCCAAATCAATCGTTTATGTTTCTATTATTATATTTGTATATATATATATATATATATACATTTATATATAAATTATGTCTATATTGTTCTTTCAAAGACTACAATTCTTTATAATTACAGAAACTCTTGTCCCGAAAATGCCTATGCTCAGAGTTGTAACTAACTTAGCAACTTCGCTTATACGAGAGACTTTTGAAATGGAACTTACAAAAATAGCTGCGTCAAGCTTGAACAAGCCAATGTATGTTGAAAAGAAAGGGTTTTATGATATGCAACGAATCCTCTATATAGAGAAAGAATAGCTGTCGAAGTGAGCAGCGGCGCTCGACTCATTCATGGAGGAACTAATGATCCCGTTGTTATAATTAACGTCAGTCTCTTCAATTTTTCATTTCAATGTGCTTGTAATTGTGCTTTCTTTCAGGTTCGTTCCATCGGCTCTCTTTCTCCAGATCAGAACTTTGCTACTACACAAGCCATAACTGCCCTCTGTGTTGATGCTTTGAAACTTAAAAAAGACAAGGTGAATATATCTCTTACGTGAATGTTTTCTTTAATATAAACATTCAGGTCATCATTGAATTTTACGATTTGGACCCCAACAATGTCGGATTCAACGGAACTACTGCTGCTAGAAAGTAGATACCAATTCATATATAACGCCGTTCATAGTACTAAAAGTAAATAAACCTTTTACCGATGGTTCAAGGCGGTTCTTAGAATTATGGAAAATCGAAAAGAAAATGTATCAAGAGATACGCGTAGAACGGGGCCATCCTATCATTTTCCTAAAACATTAAACGAGAGCTCGAATTAGGTCAGGATTTTAGGACACTTCATCCCAACAGTATTCATCAGACTTCGAACTATCTCGTAGTTACAACACCATGTTTCCGTGAGTTATTCTATGTTATTTTCTATTACTGATAATATCATTTGTAGAATTAGAAGCTTTGTTCTATTAAGTATCGTTCTTGCAGTCTATGGATCTCCAGGTATGACATACCCCTCAGTTGTTTTTTCATAATTTTTGTAGTTTTCCGAGGATCGGAATCTTTCGTTGTTGATCTTTCCTCAGAAGAAGTAGATTCTCAAACATCTTCTAGCTCACCTGCTCCTATCATATCAACAACTAACTCCACAAAAGAAATTGAGACGAAAACCGCCGAAGCTGCAGATGTTCTAGATGCTGCTCTAGGTCTTTTGAACACTCCTATGAACAAAATGGTGAACTCCAATTCTTTGAGTGAGGAAAACTAGATATATCCCAGCTATCTTCAACTTTTAGGAAAACTATTACGTTTGTTGGGGCCTTCTAGAGAAGATCTTGTAGCAACTCTTCAAATGGCTCGCCAACTCCAAGAAGCTGTTCCTACCACTGAAGCACCCAAAGTAACTGGATCTCGAAGAGATAACTTGACTGTTAAAAGTAGACTTTGAAATCAAAGTTCTATTTGAAACGAATTCGTTTCAGGTATTGATCTAATTCCAACTGATCTTCCACCAGTTGTTGATGAGCTCTTTGGCTTCAAGGAAGACGACGACAAAATTTTTGGAACAACTCAAAAGCCATTGTTCCCATTAGTAAACGCTGACCAAGAATCAGAACTTGAAAAAGTTCTTAAACACAATAACATTCCTTTCAAACATTAAGTAATCTCGCACATTTAATAATCTCATCAAGAAAAATAAAATCTCAGAACTTCTTCCAAGTTTTCTCCGAAATAACATTCATATACATATTTGTATTCTCTGCTCTTAATCTTCGAACTATTTTGAACGAGTAAAACTGCCTAATCGGGTAAGCTGTCTTCGCAGCTAGCGAGTTAAAGACGAAATAAAGAAAGTTAGTTTAGAGAAAAGAAAGCAAATAACTACAAAACGTCCGCAGCACACTGTTTACCTGTTGTCATACAGGAAGTTAAGAAGGACGAAGAGTGGACGTCACGAAAAGATCTCAGTACTTAATTCATCTCTCTGGCGGTTTGCTTGGTTGTATACTGATTACGTAATCATTACCAAATATGCTGTCATTCTTTCATTTGGAATTGTCAAACAGAAAAAAAATCAACGAACGATCGAGTAAAATTCGTCAGAAAGTCAATAGGTAGACACAAGTTTTCCATCGTTCATATGAAGCTCGAGAAAGCTCAATGACCTTTAGTACGAACATGGAAAGTTCTTGATAAAGAATTTCGTTTGAAGTCGCCGATTTAGAGTGTGCCACTAGAGGTTAAAACTCAATGTTCTATAAATAGAATGATTATTTCGTCCAAAAGTTTGTTTTTCACTGAAAGATATTTCTCTCTCATAAGTGCTGGCTCATTATCGCAGAAACGAAGTTGATACCGTTCGCAAAGTAGAAATCTTTGAATTTGTTGTTTTCCGAAAATACTCAAACTATTTTCTTCGACCAGCACAGTTCTCAACGTTGAAGTCTCAGTCGCATAGTAGAAACACAATAAAAGAAACAGCAGCGATAGCTACAAAATATCTTCCTGATCTTAATGTAACAAAAGAAACTGTTCCTTTTCTTGAGGGACCTGTCGTTCACATCTCGGTTTTGCAAACTGGGAGAAAATATGTTTGTGGGCAAACAATTTTGGTTTAGAAGAAAAGAAAAAAACGGGATTGATACCTTGGCTGAGAGACACATATTCGACGATTGAAGTAATACAACATATTGCTACTTCAGAGTTTGAAACTTGACAGAAAACGATGAGTTAGATCTAAAAGCACGCTCTCCCGCACTTTCCCCCCTTTCGGAACTTCTGATTGCTCTGTTCGAGCCCCAAAATGGTAAGTAAAAAAGAAGAGAGAACAGAAGTGGGAAAATTTGCACAGAATTCCTTTGAGTATATGACTATAGTCAGCTGAAGAGAAGAAGCTTCTGAAGAAGATAAAGAATGGACAGTACGCTGACAATACTTTGTACTGTCATTCGTATATAATATCGGTCAATTCTCTCCGCTTCTACTATTTGCCGAAGTAATCTTACTATGTCGCATGAGAGATGAACGTATCGCATCTTCTTCAAATTGATCATTACGAGAAGCTGTGTTTGGGCGAGGTTCGGCTAACACTATTTATGGAAGCAACAAATAACCCACCAGAGCAAAAAACGGAACCGTTTCATCCGCTTTTACACTTCTTAATTTAACATGTTCACAAGAGTTTGGAAGAGGAGGAGGGGGAAAAGTCGAACAACAAGCCGAAAGGGGGATTATTATAACGTAGGTCTGGCCCTTCACCTTGAGGAATGTGGAAAAGCATTTTTTGCTTGTTTAAGATAAATTTCTTCATGCACTTAGTGCAGTTGGATGACCTCAACATGCAAATTTGCACTTTACTCTCCTTTGTCTGTCTTATCTTTCACATTGCCAAATAACTGATTTTTTCCCCCGATACACTCAAGTTATTTGCCTTCTTAAAATCTTAACATAGCTCTGGGGGCTATGAGACCGTTCTTCTTTCTTCTTAGGCTTTCATGTATGTATCTTTCTGCTCTATCAGACAGTGCCTCCTCAGGATCTTGCGTTCTGATTGGTTCAGGTTCGAGAGGAAGAAGTCTAGTTTGGCATAAATGACCGGATGGAGAATCGCACATGACCTTCTAGCTGTTTGTGCAAAATCTATCTGGAAGTGGAAAAGCAGTTTTTCGATAATCGGAAGAATTCAACTGACGCCACGAGAGCATGTTTTGGGAACTTCTTGGAACATTCAGAAGAAAAAGAAGAAAAATCTAAAGCGTTTCAACATCTATTCGCATTTATACCTGAAATGACAAATAAACACAACCGCAAACTGAGTTTGTTCGACTTTTTCCATGAAAGCAACTGCTCACAGAGAGACACGCTTCGGAAAGGAATTCAAAAAAAGGAATTATAGTATGACGTATGATTGATACTCTCACATATTTCTTTTCACGACTCAAAACATGCTCTCAATAGCATGTATATGGGAGCAGCTAACTGCCTTCATGCCTAATAAACAAGTTTCAAACATAATATACACTGTTAGTCATCCACACGTCTTCTCAAATCAATTAAGCTCTGTGCATACCATGGTAGTTTCTTTTGAGATCATAATGAGCGCTCCCATGCTACCTCTGGTTGTGAGACAAAGAAGCGGAGCTGAGCGGCTATAATGGGTTCCCGGATGATAAGATGGACTGCGAGGACGTTTATTTAGATTTCCCGTGCTATTTCAATATAGCAGAACCTCTTTTTTAGCGTTTCTTTTCTTATACACCATCTTCATCTCCACCTACTCGAAAGCAACAACGTACCGAGGACGAAGGGCGGACGGAAAACCGGTTAGCCGGAGACTATTTCGGATGACCGGCCGCAGGTCCGATATAAAGTCCGTAAACGCATAGCTTCAGAGTCTCAAGCTTCAGCGTTTTGAGAGTGTCTGAAAGCATTATCAGCCACAATCATTCCTTCAATTTAGAAGTTTTCTTCATACTCATTTCTATAAGTTTTACTCTATGTCTATTTCATAAGTTTGAATAAGCTGATAAAGAATTCGAACATCTCAGAACAGTGCAAAAGTACAAAACTCTCTCGAGGGTTTTGTACGTTATAAGTTCGAAGCTCATTTGAAGTCTTCTCATCGCTTTCATCTTGTACGCGTAAGTGGATTCCTTTAACAGAAAACATCACTAGCCAAGTACTGTTAAGATGATTTCATCAAGATTGTACTGTCCTCTTACTTAAAACACGACGAACGTGCTCATCCTCTCATACTCTTGTACATGTTGTATCTTCTTATCTTTTTACGATCTTGTTCTTCTTCATTTCTCTACTTTCGCTTATTTGTGATACGAAGGTCAGTATGTTTGGAGTTAACCGTAGCACGCGAAAAGAGGTAGTCGTCATGTTGCCAGTCGACATAGAGATGCTCCGATGAGATATTCCGTTTGCCTAAGAGAATTAGTTTTAGTCGTCGCGTGTCCATTCTCATCTTATTCTTCATCAGACCTCATCATCTTCTTCTTCTCCCTGCTTCCGTAACAGCTTTATTTGTAGCTCCGCCCTTTTCGGACAGTCCCACAACGGAGGTACACAGCTACTCATCGCTAATGAGTCTCTGCTCGCCCAGCAGACAGTCGGATAAGCTTCACTGCTGTTCGAGAAGTCTTTCGCCTCGTCTTGACTTATGATCATGTAATATTCATGGAATTATGTCTTGATATCATACTGTTCCTTTTCATATTTTCGTTATACTATCGTGTCGTGACTTATTCTATCGACTTCAAATATTCAACTTCATTATTACAGTAGCCTTATCATGAAGCGATTAGCTTTTTCTTTGGCCGTTCTCCTGCCACTCGCTGCCGTCTACGTGATGAACGTCGACGCTTTGGACAGTCCAGACAGTCCAGAAGGTAGACTACTCACAAACATGCTGAACTCAACTTTAACTATTCAGGCCCCGAACTTAGAGATGCTAATGTTACCGTTAGCCGTGCTAAGCGTCAATATGGCTGCCCAGCTAACTGTTACTCATCCTGTGCCTCAACCAGTCAATGTCAGATGTATTCCGTTTCTGCTGTTTGCGTTTCTGGATGTTGCTGCCCAGGCAACTCTCTCGAAAGTAAGTGAAACTCAACGAATTTCCGTCTCTTTGTGCCAACTATTCAACTGCACTTTCACTTTTCAACACTACCAAAGAACTTTTGTATGTCCCTCCGTTCATTTCATCTTACCCTGACAGGTCAAAATCAACTTAAGTTACAAAAGTTGCTCTGCTAATCAGTCAGACGTATTTGTTGGTATGATGAAATACTAGAGAGATTGTGATGAAAAGAAAGAAGGTCGAGCAGCTCAATCTTCTCAAAGTTCGAGCTCTCTCGGGGGCTCGCGCTTCTATTTGCGCTTTGAAGTTGGCTAAGTGGCCGCTCACGAACAATAAAGAAGACCACACAGACACGGAGAAGTGTGTAAGAAAGAAAGAACAAGGAACAGTCACACACAGACATATACACACAAATGCGCTTTCTCTAATATAGATGAATACCCATACATGGACGAATCGTTGAATAGACTTCTAACTAGGGGCACACATCTCTAAAAGATTAAACACAAAACTTCTAACTGATGTAATATTTTTCAGCTGCTTGCTCCGGAGGACCAGCTGTAGCTGCTTGTCTTGGAGGTCTCTGTGGACAAGGATATTTCTGCTCATCCAACAACTACTGTTGTAGATGCCAATCCGGAAACTCTACTGGTTTGAGCTCATGCGTGAATTTTATAATGTTAGATGTTTACAGGTCCATGTGTTAACCAACAGTGTCCTACTGGATTCCTCTGCAACACAAACCAATACTGCTGCCCTCTCGGATCCGGCGGAGTTCTCGGTAATATATAAGACGATGTTCTTTTCGAGACATTTACTATTTCCAGGACAATGCGTTAATGGAGTTTGTCCAACAGGATACACCTGCGGAGCTGGAAACTTATGTTATTTGACCTCTGGAAAGAAGTAAATTAAACAAATCAATACGCGACAAATTGCCTATCAGTCTTTCTTGTTGAGTTCTAACTTATAAAATAAGTATTTATATAAAGTAATAAATTAATCAGCTTCCATTTGTTCGAAATATTTATTGCTAAGTTCAAAAACTAAAATTGTATTTTATTATGCTCAAAATCAGAATCTAGAAGAAACGAGCAGAAAATAACAGTTCCCATTGATATATCATACCTACCAACAGATCATAAACAGAATTACATCAAATTTCTCATCAAAAAGTAACAATTAAAAGCTTTCAGTTATGCTTGCTCAGTTCATCACGATAAGTGATTCTCTCTCGGCTCCTACTCCGATCCACTTGATTGGCACCTGATATTGGGATTTTGAACAAATAATTGAGAAAAAATCAAACCTCAATGAAAGACTCTATGAAGCGCACATATTCGCGGCACTTCTCTGGAAGATCATCGAACTGTCTGATGTGGGAAGTTACACTCTTCCATCCGGGTACCACCTTATACTCGACTTCAACACGGCCCCAGGCAGCAGCTTGGGCTTTAAAGGAAGGATTCAACATTGTTTTGATGAACAGCAAAAAAACCTGGAGGAGCAGTCAACTCTTTTCCGTCCAATTTGTAGCCAATAGCAATCTTAATCTCCTCGAAGGAATCGAGAATATCCAGCTTAGTTAAAGCGATTGCGGTATATCCGTTGATCTGTGCTGAACGACGAAGAAGGAAGAGATCAAGCCATCCACATCTTGAATATCAAATTCATTCATACGTCTTCTTCCAATATTAACCTTCTTTTACGTCCTGTGGTTACCCCAACTTCCTGACCAATAACTTGCAAACGTTCACCATCTTCATCTGGAGTTCCGTCCGCCTTAAGAAGTTCAGTAGGGAAGGGACCGGTTCCTACACGAGTCTGATAGGCCTTAACGACGCCAATAACCTAGACCAAGAAATAAAAGATTGAAGACTGAAATGTGATTTTTAAACCTGTGATACAGCAGTTGGTGGAATTCCCAGTCCTGTACAGGCTCCTCCCACAGTGGCGTTAGAAGAAGTTACGTATGGATAAGTACCTTAACAATTTAACATATAATAAATATTACAATGATTCACTGACCAAAATCAATATCTAGAAGTGCTCCATTAGCTCCTTCGACCAAAATGGAAGTTCCCTTTCTGGCTTGCGAGTTGATGAATCCAACTGTGTCTCCAACCAAATTGAGAGCATTCAACTTTTCACGTTGAGCTTCGAACTTTTTGAGTTCAGCGTCAACATCAATATCAATGCTTGGGAACTGTTTTTTATAATGAGCTACGAGGCTGTGATATCTGAAAAAACAGTATCAATAAATCACTTCTCTCGTTGATACAACCGCACAGACGCTTGATAAATGAAAAATGAAGCAATCCTATCTCACGTATCAAGGCGGCTGTTTCTAGCCACGTCATTTGGGAAGTGATCCAAGTTTAAACCAAAAGACCAACCTCTCACTGAACTCGTTGAAATCTCCCATCAGATCAGCAACCCGGATACCGTTTCTGAAGCATTTTGAAGAATAAGTTGGACCGATTCCTCTGTTGGTTGTTCCAATTTTGCTAAAAGTGATAAGATATGGAGAACAAAACAAGGGCTAAAAATACTTTTGTTGAGATAAAGAGTCCTCTTGTCTTCCATCAACCTGAGCATGAACTCCAAAAACTAAATGAGCTTCAGCAGAAATCATAATTCTGAAGCATATGTAAAAAACATGAAAACAAAGACATTAAGGACCTTTTTTCCCAGTTAGGCTCATTAGTAATTCCATTATGGTCGAGCTCGGAGAAGAAAGCGTCCAAATTCACAACTACTCCGTTACCAATGACATTGAAGCACTAAAGAGCAGGACAATAAGTAGTGATTGAGTTAAAAACCAACTTTTTCACTAATAATACCAGATGGAAGGATATGGAAGTCGTACTTCTTTCCGTTGGCTACAACGGTATGACCAGCATTGTTTCCTCCTTGACAACGAGCAGTAATTTCAACCTAATGAAAATAAGAAAGAGTATACGGAACGACACAAACTTTATAGTTCTCGATCAGATAGTCAATGATCTTTCCTTTACCTTCGTCACCCCATTGGGCTCCTAATAAGACAGAAACACCACCAGCTCTACCAGACATGGTCTAAAAGAAAAAAGTAATTGAGTTAACAAGTTGTAGTTAGTTGCACGACCAAACATTAATGACAAGTGAACAGTTAATAATGAAAAACAATCGAGACTGATAAGGATTCACTGCAGAGTGACTTACACCTTTAGAGATAAGATCATTCAAATCTGCTTTCCTTGACATTTCAAGAAAAACAATGTCTAAATCACAACGTGAAGATATAACGTCATTCAAGACTGAGAACATGTGAAAGTGTAATGTAAAGTACAACGAGAAATTAACGAGAAAGCGAAAACGAAACGGTAAAACGATAAGAAAAATTGGGCATGAAGGCAATACGATAGAATACAAATAGCCAGTTGAACGAACAACAGTTATAAGCATAAACTTAGTAGAAACCTTTTATTAAAACGTAAACAAATTATAAAAAACAAACTATGGACAACTATCAAGTTTAAACAAAATGAAAAACAGAGTAGCATAATAACAAAGTCAACAAAAGATGAGAACAATGACCGTTTTGATGAGATTGAATAGCCGGTATCAACTAGCGCAGGGGGAACTACAGAGTAAATAATCACATAGCTAAACTAATCTAATTGAATTGGAAAGTGATTGCTTGAGATTAGTTTCAAAAATTTAGTTCTGCTCCTTCTTTGGTTCATCAGCAGTCTTGGCTTCTTGAGCATCAGAGTTTCCACCGGAGTTCTTCTCGGCCATCTTCTTGTATGCGGCCTAAACGCGATTATACCTATTTGGGATTCACATAATCATGCATACCTCGAATAATTTCAAAGATTGTTGTTGGAGAGAAGAAACGGCTTCCTTGATGGTTTCTGGTTGTTCGTTATCCTTGTTAGCAAGAACCTTCTTGGTCTCTTCGATCTTAGTCTTGAGAGCATCAGACTTGAAAGAAGAAATTAGTCTAGTTCTTCATGCACAGTATTACCTCTTCCTTGGGCAATTGATCGGCAAATTCAGTCATCTTGCTTTCGGTATCGTGAATGATGCCTTCAGCTTGGTTGAGAACTTCGACAAGCTCCTTCTTCTTGGCATCTTCAGCAGCGTTCTTCTCAGCTTCACGGATCATGTTCTCGATCTGTTCTTTAGAGAGTCCTCCAGAAGATTGGATGACAACTGTAACATAAAACAGTTAAACTATTCCAGAAATCATAACAAACTTTGTTGTTCCTTTCCGGTTCCACGGTCACGAGCGGAAACGTTTACGATTCCGTTAGCGTCAATATCGAAAGTTACTTCAACTTGGGGCACTCCACGGGGGGCAGGTGGGATTCCAACAAGTGAGAATTGTCCAAGAATCTTATTATCGTTAGCCATTTCACGTTCTCCTTGGAACACTTTGATTTGAACTTGGGTTTGACCATCAGCAGCGGTAGAGAAAACCTGAAAGTAGTAGGAACAATTTTCAATCAGAGATAAATTGAACATACTTGACTTTTCTTGGTTGGAATGGTAGTATTTCTCGTGATAAGTTTGGTCATGACTCCACCGAGAGTCTCAATACCGAGAGACAATGGAGTGACATCAAGAAGAAGAACATCGGTAACATCTCCAGCCAAAACAGCTCCTTGAATAGCAGCTCCCATAGCTACAGCTTCATCGGGGTTAACAGCTTTCGATGGAGTTTTTCCGAAAACCTATGAAGTCTTTCTTGAAAAAAGTAAACTGAGGATTCTTACATCTTGGACAGTTTGTTGAACTTTAGGCATTCTAGACATTCCTCCGACAAGAATGACATCACCGATCTCAGAAGGCTTCACCTAAAGAGCGAGAAATGTCATGATTCTGAAGTTGAAAACTAATTTACCTCAGCATCATGCATAGCTTTACGGCATGGCTCAATGGTTCTCTTAACGAGATCACCAACAAGTTGTTCGAACTTTGCTCTTGTGAACTTGAGAGTCATGTGTTTTGGTCCGGAAGCATCCATAGTAAGATAAGGCAGATTGATGTCAGTTTGGGTGGTGGAGGAAAGTTCACATTTGGCCTTCTCGGCGGCCTCACGGAGTCTTTGCATGGCCATGGGATCCTAAAATTATAATTCAGAAGCATTTGTATGAAGAATGTACCTTGGTGAGATCAATTCCTTGCTCCTTCTTGAACTCTCCAACAAGGAAGTGAACGAGAGTGTTATCGAAATCTTCTCCTCCGAGGAAGGTGTCACCATTGGTAGATTTGACTTCGAAAACTCCTTTTTGGATTTCGAGAATAGAGACATCGAAGGTACCGCCACCAAGATCATAAACGGCAATACTAAAAGCAAAAAGTTAGAAAAAGCAATAACTGGAGAATAATCACATCTTATCTTCAGATTTGTCTAAACCGTAGGCAAGAGCAGCAGCAGTAGGTTCATTGATAACACGGAGAACATTGAGACCAGCGATTTGACCAGCGTCTTTGGTGGCCTGAAAAAAACTATGTAACTCTAAAAATGTTTAAAAACAAACTTGTCTCTGGGAGTCATTGAAATAAGCTGGAACAGTAACTACGGCATTGTGCACAGCGGTTCCCAAATAGCTTTCAGCAGTTTCTTTCATTTTCATGAGAACGAAGGCTCCGACCTACGATTACATTATACTTACTTAATACGCTATAAGTGTGGTACCTGAGAAGGAGAATAAACTTTGCCTTGGGCTTCAACCCAAGCATCACCGTTGCTGGCCTTGGTGATCTTGAAGGGTACGACTTTCCTATAATACGATTAAATTATTGCGAAATATCATGAACAAACTTACAAGTCCTTCTGAACCTCAGCATCATCAAATCGTCTTCCGATGAGACGTTTGATGGCATAAAGAGTGTTCTGGGAGTTGGTAACAGCTTGTCTCTTAGCTGGAGCTCCAACCAAACGTTCTCCCTCCTTAGTGAAAGCAACTGTGGATGGAGTGGTTCTGACTCCCTCAGCATTTTCAATAACCTTGATTTAGAGGTTTATTCTTCGCAGAAGTGAGCCAAATACCTTAGGGTTCTTTCCTTCCATGACGGCGACACAAGAATTGGTTGTTCCAAGATCGATTCCAATGACGGCACCTCTAACTCCATCAGACCTATTTTTTTGATTAAAAAACTATCAAAAGAAAATATGATACTTGAATCTTTGAGACACAGTCTGGAGGTATGTAGAACGAGCCAAAGCTCTAGTGCAAGAAGAAGCATTCATAGCCAAGCGTGCTGTAGGGAACAACATTTTTTTACCTGAAATCGAAAAAAAGTTGAATAGTGAGAACTTGGAACTTGGAATTTAAACTTCAACCACAAGAAGGGTAAAGAATATCGAATCAAGAAAACTTGTAAGCTCAATAGAAAGAAAATAAAAAAATTCTAATAAATGATGAAAATTGAAACTACTCAGCCTGGTAACCGTCCCGAAGTAATTTCATATATCACACCGCCCATCTCCAGAATTTACATCATAGAATTTCTAAGCTTTGAAATGGTCCTATGGCGATTCGAAATTGTCATTGGAGCAGCTTTCACTCTGACTTCCTTCATACAGTTCACACAAGCTAACTTCCTTTCGTTCTCTTCATTATTCAAGAGGATAATTAAAATTTACTCAGTTTTAACTCTTTATCCTCAATTTCCAAAACAATTATCATATTCCAACATCAAAAATGGGGCGTGACTTACTTGCCCGTGATAAAAAGCTTCGTGAGATGCAAACGAAGAATGCTAAAAAAACATCAAGAAAGTTAACCAACTTGGGTAAAAAAAAGAAAATCTCTAGAAATATAAGTGATAGCTTGCGAGACATAAAATCCCGTAAAAATGCTGGACTGCACCAACTTAAAGGCCATGTATGTTTGTTTTGTAGTTCTTCTATTAAAATTTGTTTATCTACATAGGTTGAAGATGATTGGGCTGACGATCGTTTAATAAGAAGGGAGACTGAAGACAATGATGATGCTCTTCCTTTGGATATGTTAGATGCTGATATAGATTGGGAAAAGAGTGCTTTTTCCAATATGCGAAAGAGATATGCGCAAAGTAACTCATCAGATGTGTTCGAAATTACTGTAGAATATTGAAGGAATGGAAGAAGATGAGGAAGATTTTGAAGTGAAGAAGAGAAGCTTCGCCGGACAATTGAAGCATGATGAGGAAGAGATGTTGCCTATTAAGCTTCAGGTTGTTGTAAATTTCAATCCAGAGTCATGATTCAGTTCAGGATGGTAGATTGATCAGACCGACACGTCAAAAAGATGAAGAAGAAGATCAGGAAGATGAAGAAGAAAAGCCTGAAAAGGATGAAGATGAAACTAAACCGAAGCAAGAGGTTTTTACTTAAAAAATATACAGTGTTTTCATGTTATTTCAGGATTATTCACATCTATCAGCTTCCGAACTTTTAGCGAAGCGTAAGGAACTGCTCGACGAGTTCAAAGAAGAAATATCAACATCTTGCCAAAGTTTGCTAGGAGATCCAGAGTCTAATGTGAGTCATAGAGGTAACAACAGCGTTAATCTCTCTTATTTCTAGATTATGAAGTTGAGAAAACTGTATCGCTTATGTAAAGGTGAAGAAGTTCATACATTAGTGCGTGAAACTGTTCAAAAGTTGGCCGTTGTCAGTATGATGCAGGTAAGCCTTCCACCTAATTGAGCATTGACGAATTTATTTCGCTTAGATTTTGGTGGATATTGTTCCTGGATATTCTATTCGTGTTCTCACTGATGAAGAGAGACAACAAAAGCAGAAGAAAGAAACCAAAAAGCTTATCCAATATGAAGAGTCTCATCTGAGATACCATCTGAAGTTCTTGCAACTTTGTGAAAAATTTGCCATGAGTAAGTGATATTATGAGTGTTTTCTGTACGTTTTCTCGGTCAGAGTTTGATCCTAAGCACCATAAGTTAGTGCCTGAAAGTTTCTCTTACAAAATTGGATTCCTGTCCCTTAAAGTGAGTTGAGAATTTGAAAAGTTTTCAATTTATTCTCTACAGGCTCTATGTCGTATAATGGTTACTTGCGCTCATTTCAACTATACAACTAACATTGTTTCCATGCTGGTTAGATTATCTTCGTCAAAAAACAAAGAAGTGAGTTCAGGCTTTCTTGCATTGATTTCATTGCTTTTGATGTCAGGTTGCTACTCTAGCTTGTGATGCCATAGCTAAAATGTTTTCCGAAGATGTTTACTTAAAAATGTCCTTGTTTGGATCTAGAAGTATATCCACATATATCACCAAGATGAAAGGACGAGTTAATCCTGATTTGATCAGAACTTTATTAAGCCTAACCATAAAAGTACGTTCCTCATGTATTCCAATCAGTTTTTTGTCATAACCAGGAAGTCGAGCAAAGGCATAATAAGTCTCAGAAAACTAAAATTTTTGCTCAACGAGCTCGTGTTAAGAAGGAAAGATCTAATAAGACGGCTAGAAAGGTTTGATTGAGTTTTATTCAATACTAAATTGTTCATTCTCCAGTATAAAAAACAGTTGGATAAGCTCGAAGCTGATCTTAAGGAATTGGATAACCAAGAAGTTCTCAGTGAAAAATTGAAAAACGTATGTTGTTTAATCTCTATTGCGATTGATATCATAGATGTTTAGGCTACTGAAGCCATGAAGTATGTCTTCCAAGCCTATTTCTCAGTACTCAAGCGTATGCCGGATCTGAAATTGTTAGAACCTTGCTTAGAAGGTTTAAGTCAGTTTGCTCATTTATTGAATGTTGAGTTCTTCGATGACATTGTGAAGACAATGGAAGATTTGGTTGAAAGAAAGGTTGCTCTTCTATATTTGATCGCTTCTAACATCTATTCTTTGAAGAATCTCCGGATAGTAGATCAGATCTATTGTATACACACAGTTTTCATTATTCTTTCGGGAGAAGGAAAAATTCTGAACGTGGATCCTTCCAAGTTCTATCGCTCTCTCTATCGTATTCTCAATACTCTACCTTTTGAAGCAAAACCAGGTATTGATAGTTGGAAACAGTTTCGCATGTAATCTAATTAAGAGTTGAAATTGAAACAGTTGACTGTTACAGCTAAAGCTTTATATTGTATGCTGAATGAAAGGAGAAAACAGGTAAAACGTTGTTTCAGATACATCTAATTCGTTGCTTCAGGTACCTCTATGTAGAGTTGCAGCTTTCGTTAAACGGTTACTTGCTATAGCTACACTCATGGATGATCCGTATACACTGTGCATTATTAGCATAGTTCGATCGTTATTTATAGTAATATTTCAAATTGATTTCGACAAGATATTTTAAAATCATTTTAGGCTCATCCTAAGATCAGCACTCTCACAGATGACGATGAATGTGGTGGAGGCGCCGGAGGCATTTGTCGTTTAGATATAGATGACCCTGATGTATCTAATGCTCTAGGAACGAATGTAATATTGGAGTTAAAACTGCTCTCCAAAGTAAGTAATTTCGTTTTAAACACCTCTTATCAAGCTATGTTATAGCGTCGCAATAGGGACATCAAGAAGTTCGCTAACAACATACTTAACGGATGTCCTTCGACAGGACCGCATTACATGCCTCCTAGCTTAGTCAACAAGTGAGTTCATCTGAAGATTCACCGAATACTGGATTCATAATTTTTTTTCAGATTGCCAGAGGAATTGATGAAAATCGAGCTGGATAACGATAGTATGCCACTAGAAATGAAATATCTGAAGGAATTGGAAGCGTATTGCAAGAAGAAAGGGCAAGAGTTAACAACGAAGAATGTTCAGTTCCATATATCCACCTTCCTCGAAAGTCGTCGAGATATGATTTGATTTGAATTTTTATTGTTAAAATTGTTGAAAGTTAATTGTTGCTTGTTATCATTATGATTATCTTTATCTAAATAATTTCGACTTAATCATTTTTCCAAAAATCACGTCATACTTTACAATTAGACGATAGAAGTAATGATTATAGGAAGACATGGGTGAGTTCTCAATCGGATTAAGTCATTATTGAAATATGAGATAAGAGAGACTACATTCGTCTTCTTTGCTAAGATGAAGACGTTGGCCCTGTTTCTAGCATGCTGTGCCTTACTTGAGGCAACGGTTCTTGAAGTTCCGTTGAAAAAAATTGAATCTAGACGCTCTCAGCTTCTGAAAGCGGTAAGATCAACTTTTTATTGTTTCAAAATATCTTTCTCTTTTAGGGCAAGTTTGAAGAGGTTCTTAACAGGGGACGCACTTCGAAACTCGTCACTGGCTCCCAGCCTGGTTATGACTACTTTGATGTAACAGTGTTTTGTTTCCTTCTCGTTAGCCTTTTCTGTTTTAGACTGAATACATTGGAAATATCTTCATTGGAACCCCACCTCAAGAGTTCTGGGTCATATTGGATACTGGGTCTTCTGATCTGTGGATTCCCGATAATAGCTGCGGAGGTAATTGGAAACTATGTATAGTTTGATCAACGTCACGCTCAGGTATTCCTGGTTGCGATGATTACTGTAGCAAGCTTACTGCCACTAACTGTCCAGTTTTCTGTACCGATCCAAAGTGCTGTCCTCAATCAAACGGAAACGGAACTCTTCCTTCTCAACTGAATAAAGACCCATGTGGTGAGTTGAAAATGATGTGCTTACTGGAGCTTAAGAAGTTTTATCAGTGATCGAAGAGTAGAAAGTATGGGATACTCCTCAAGTATCAATTTTGCAGTGATAAAGGAATCATTCTTGATCAGAAAGCTTAATAATAGTAACAGAAACTTTTTAGATTACAAGAACCGGTTCAATCATGCTGCTTCTTCATCTTATGCTTATGATGGTACACGATTCTCAATTTCGTATGGTACCGGTCAGGCCAGCGGTTTCTTGGGAATAGACAATATCTGCGTAACTTATTCATTCTGAAGTTGTGCTTCATTTTGTTTTTCAGCTAGGAGACGTGAAAGGTATTTGCAACAAACAAAAATTCGGACAAGCTGAAGAAATTGCTTCCTTCTTCCAAAACCAACCTATGGATGGTTTGTTTATTTTACGGTTCATACTGTAATTGAAAACTTTAGGTATATTTGGTATGGCTTGGCCATCGCTTTCTGTAACTCTTACCCCACCTTTGCTATTCCAAGTAATGTACAATTTGAATGCCCCTATTTTCACCGTGTGGCTTGACGAGTATAATAAAAGAGTTTCCAATTCATTCATAGTATATCTCATTTAGAAATGGAGGAGGCACCAACACAACTGCAGGATTATTCACTTATGGAAGTACTGATGATAAGAATTGCTTAACAAACATTACATTTGTTGATGTTTCTCACCAAGCATATTGGCAATACGCTATTCAAGGGTATATTGTAAGCATAGTTTACACTCATAATCGAAATGCTGTTCAGAGTGAGCGTTGGAAGCTACCAAAAACGCCAATCTTATCAAGTTATCTCTGACACTGGTACTTCTTTCCTTGGTGTACCACAGGAAGTTTTCCAAGGCATTGGAAACTCCCTGAACGCTACATTGGACGATTGGACTGGAGAGGTATCTGTTCTCAAGGGTTTTTAGAATAATATTTTACTTTAGTACTATGTTGCTTGCGGACAAGCCTACCCAGATATTGTTTTCACAATCGATGGAAATCAATACGCTATTTCATACAAGCACTACGTGGTAAGAACTCACAGTTAGTATGAATATCACACTTTCTAATAGGTTCCGATGAATGGCCGATGCATCGTTGCAATGTTCTCAATGAACGGTGGTGGATTTGGACCTTCTTTCATCCTCGGAGATCCATTCTTGAGGTGATAAACACTTCTGAATATTGATATAAAACTTTTTTTCAGAGCTTATTGTCACGTCTTCGATATGGGTACATCTAGAGTAGGACTTAGTAAGGCACTCCATAAGAACTCATAAAGTATAAATTGTAAGTGATCAGAGAATAAATGATTCTATATGAAAAAAAAACAATTCATCACAGAAAGTAAATAAAAAGAGATCGAATTTGTGTGATTAAGTATAACAATCATAGTTATTATATGCTTTGAACACGTTTTAGAACTCTTGAGCCAGATATGAGTAGCCGGGAGATACCACAAAAATTTAGTATCGCTTAAACTGTTGTTTCAATTTTCATAACTGCTGGAGTGCTCATTCGCTGTAATGTTCCCCTGAAGAAAATAATATTTTGGATGGTTAAATGATTTGAAAGTTTTTTACGTGGTTTGAACTTGAGCGTCACTGCTGTTAGGCAAGTCTATGGGATCAAAAATTGAATCGTTCAAGCCTCCCCATGTTCTTCGTCTGTCTTCGCATTCATCTTTATCGCCGCACTTTATATCGTCTTTATCTATACGATACTCCTCCAGCTCATCCTGAATGAATCAAAAAATCAAAGCAGAACGAAGTGCAATCTCACTTTCAACTTTTGCAACTTTACAGAATTACTTCTTGATCTCACACGTACAGGTGTGCCAACCATTGACTCTGTTATGGGTGAGAGTGGAGGTTCCTGAAAAAGAGGAAGATAAACGAGAGAACAAAAAAGCGCAACCGAATCAGTCGACAAAACAATTGAAAATGAAGAATTTTAGCCACTTACGTCAGATAGCCTCTGATATTCTTCGTGTATTTCAATATTGTTCATCACCTATATGAAAGAGGGATAAGCATTCAAGCTAAGAATAATATGAAAACCTTTTTATGTCTATCTAATAGACGGTGAATTTCATTCACATAATCATCAGGCAGCTTTTCAACATCGGATTTTCGTCTAAAAATCGTAACATCAAGAAGAAATCACAAAAATGTTTGCCTTGATGTTCGACAATTTTGATAACATGATGTGACACAATTGAGAATGATCAAAAGAAGAGCGAAGAAGATGGCAACAGCCAGACTGATGGCAAGTAGTTCGATGGCTTGTAGACCCATTCCGGTTGGAATTTAAGAAGAAAACTCCGGATATGTTGAAGTTCTTTAGAAGAAGAATGCTTCAATTGATCATAATAATGAACAAACAATCAGACTGAGGATTTACCTGAAAATTCGAATGAGTACAAAGACAAAATGACTGAAAAGGGAACAAACAACCAAGGTCGAACAGATAATTTCAATGAGATGGAGAGCAATGAAGAATGAAATTTGATTTCTGTATGAACATGATATGATTATTAAGAGAAAATCATAATAAAGATGAGGAATATGACAGAAACATCAACATGAAAGAGAAAAAGGATTTTATTCAAGGGAATCCAATAACTTCCAGAAGACTGAGTTTGCAGAATTTGATCGTAATTGTGTCTGTCATTGAATTTTCGGATCCAAAAAAACCTTTTTTTTTACTGGGTGAAAGACAATATTCAAAAATAAATCTGATCTGATGACATATTGAAACGAAAGGATTAAAAGAGAAATCAAATATCCAAATAAATATATTTTGAGAAATGAAATCTGCTAACTGGAGTAAATATAAACAAGTCCACTTTGATCGATGCCTTTTAGGACGTTCAATTTGAAAGATACAAATGTATGCTAATTTCCAAGCGTTGCCAATAATCTGTACTATTTATTCATAGTTAGATTAATACAACACAGCTTGCCTTTTGGTAAATTCTATATAAGGGAGGAAGAGGTAATTGTCAACCTAACTATTGGCGGACGCGAATTCAAGGACGATCATAGAAGAGAAACAATGAGATGAGCTAATTAACTGAGTATCGTTGCGTTTGTTCATCATCTTTTTCCAAATTAGTCAATGCAATCGTGTCGCACAAGCTTGAAGATAATGCATATTTCAGGAAAAGATGGAATTTGAGCAAAAAATGTCCAACTTTATAAAAGACTTCAAAGAACACTGAAAGAGGGCAACTACAAAGTAGAGCAACCAAGATGATCTTCTAGTTGGTCAAAAAATGATTTACAAACATAAGATCACAAAAGAAGGCGCCAAAATGAGTGTATATAAGGAAGAGAGGTTGAAGATTAAGTCAGTTGTGGTATCACCAACACAAGTAAATCCCTAAATATTAACTACTACTTATACTCCAAGTACTAATGGCTACTCGTCTTTTCGTCTTAATTTCATCCTTCGCCTTGTTGGTTCATTCCGCTCCTGCTACTGGTAATGAAGTGGAAGGATCCGGAGAACTTCCCTGCGATACTGGTAAAAAAGAGATTGAAAAAGGAAGTTAATTTGCTTGTTTGCAGATGGTTTCATCAACTGGGATTATCGTCACGTTCCCAAGAAGCCAGAAGTAGTTGAGGTTATTGAGACTATTGCCGCTACTCCCAACAATGTAAGTTATAATCTGTCTATCAATGCGAATCATTGAATACAGGCCAAGCTTTGCCCAAATGGATGGATTAGCTATCGTGAATCCTGTTATTCGATCAGTTCGGATCAACTTGCCATGGACAAAGCTGAACGTGCCTGCAACGATTTGGAAACTGCTCTGTTTGTTCCTGATACCGTTGAAGAGTTCGACACCATCAGAGTTCTTGCTCCTCAAAATAACCAGACCTGGTTAGGACTTACTGGATCTACCTGCTTGCAATGGCAAACCAAGGGAGGAATGGACTTCGAACTTTTGTAAGTCGTATCAATGTGTAAATGAGGTTAAATTATAATTTTAGGAATCATAAGCTTAAGTCTGAAGATCGTATGTCTGCCTGTGAAACTAAGTGCTTTGCCCATATGAATGCTGAAGAGCCAAAGGAGCAGTTCACTCACTTCTACGACTGTACAAACGAGTTCTATTATATTTGTGAAAGAAATGCTACACTATATGCTACTTTGAATTGATTGGAATTATGTAATTGTATATAACTTAGTAGGTCTATAAAGCTTTAAAAGCTGTAAAAAGGTTTTTTTGTTATAATTAATATGGAAAGGAACGATGAAAAAAGAATGAAATGGGAATGTTCAGGCCATAAGCTGATCTGAAGACCTCGAAATAGACAGAAACATCTGGCAAATGGACATATAAATCTTCAGAGAGGATTTGAAGGAGGAATTATATTATAAATGGAATGTTTCATCTTTTAGGCAGTTTTAAAGAGTTGATTTGAATAATTTGAGATTTTGTGAAGTTTTAAAGGAGAAGGAAGTGTTTTTGAACTTTGCATGTCTTTTACATCTGTTTTTGGAGTAGAAGAGAATGAGGTGGAATGACATTAAGACCGGAAGACAAATGGACGAATGGAATCTTGGCAGAGAAGAAAGAAGGAATGAAAGATAGATTGTCTGTTAAGTAAGATGATAGAAACACTTCTTATTAAGGTTAGCAACGAGGTCGACAACGTGTTTCATTGAATAAAAAGTCTATGAAAAGCTTGAAAATCAATCAGTTTGTTGTAGATTGGTGTTTGGTATTGATGGATTGATCTCGTAATTGCTTGATGGATGGATTGGAGTCGATTATTAAATCTTCAGCAGATTTACATTGCTTTCATATATACACGTAGAATGAGTCTCAAGAAACGTAATGTTAGTGACACTGTTGATGTTGATGTCTAATAGTGAACTTAAAAAAAATTTTAGGAAATTAAAAAAATTTTTCTTGAAAAGTGCAGGTTGTGAAGAGAGTGTGAGGTGTGCTGGACTTGATTGTAATGCTTATCCTGACTGTCATTTGATTCTTTGTCATTAAAAAAATTGGAAAATTAATTATTTCTCTTCGTTTATCTAAGATTGTTTGAATATCGACATTCGTCACATCCTTTTCATATGAATTTTCTCATATATGACATTCGAAAGATAGAAAGAAGACGTAAAAGGCTTAAAATGAGGCTCTTCAAACGAGTTATTCTTCTTTTGCCATTCTTTCAAGCTCATTCCGCCTCCGATTGTTATGCTAAATATTCTTCTTTTTACTATTCAAAGCAATATTATCTATTTTTAAAATGATGTTTTCGTTAATTATCATTGGCTCAAGTAAGTTTTTGAATAATTAAACTTTGAATGTGGTTTTCTCTTGGAACAACATCAGCTCTAATCAGCTGCTTCTGGCTACAGAAGCCCTTTCCCTCTGAGCACATCTGATTTTGTATAAACTAATTTGAACTTTCCATTCAATGAAAACATTTATTTCATCATCAACATCATCATCATCATTATCATTGCGTTTATGAAAAGATTTTTGTTTCAAGTAATCAGTCTCGTCCACTTAACAGCTGCCAATTACACCTCGTTTGTGGATGTGGATACCAATCAAATCGGATTAACAAATGATAAAGTGAGTTATCAGTATTTGGAAACATTTTATTCATTTTTATATTTTAAAAATGATGAGATAGTTTATTCGAGAAAAAAAAAAGTTTTTTTCTTTCCATGCGGTTTTGACTGATGTTTGCCGGAGTTTATGAAAATGAATGAAAGAATGCAACCGCTCAAGGCGAATGTGATTGTACATGAATGTCGTTGTCAGTACATTTTTGAAATTTATGCAAATTAGAGATTGTTCACGTAGCGTGAAATGAAATATTGTTTACAGGGAAGAATATGCATAGCGTTGGCGTTTAAAGTTGGAGTTTTCAATCTTAACATCAAGGAATCAAACAACTTCATTCCGGTATGTTATTGGACGATCTTGAGATATGAGAAGAAAAAAAAAACAACGAAATGTATGACTTTCAGTTTGATTTACTATCGGATGAAACAATTATTGGCGGGCGTTGCTCAAAAGACTTCAAAACAGATCCAATTTTGACAGCTATAATTGTGCACGAGAGTAGAAAAAGAAAATTGAAATTCTACTTTGGAACTGTAAGACGTAGACAGTCAGTATAATAACTTTACATCTATTATATTCAGAAAAATGTATATGTGAAACAAATTGAAGAGCTACGATGGCAATTACGCAAAGTTGTATATACAGAATCTTATGAAGGTTTCGAAAATCAAAATTACTTTCGTAAACAGTTATGTAATACAGATAGATCAGCTTCATTTGAGTCCGATAACTCATCAGTAATCATAAGCTCTCCATTGAACCAAAAGTATATTTGTAAGGACCAAGTCAATATAACTCTTCATAGCGAAGGATTTGAGTAAGACTCTTAATCAACCTTTTTTCTCCGACTCTTCTCATTCAGAGATGTTATCGTGTCCATGAGTCCTGATATAGACTTTCAACCATATGGTCCCAAGAGCAATGGTATATCATTTTCTCAGAGTTGTTGTTACACGTTTTTCATAATTTAAGCTTATCTGTGTGAAAGAACACGCAAACGAACTCTAAGAGAATCATTTGAGAACAAAGCCACAGTGTTCTCCGGAGTTGTTCTTGGATTAGCTTCTGTTGGCTCGATAGTCGGTCATTCCATACGTCGTCATTTACATCCTGTTCGAAAAGAAATATACCAAAACTTAGCAGGAAATTAGCTGAAAAGTTTATTTTTGTTAAAAAAACAAATAGATTTTTGGTCCTTTTTTTGACATTTTGTTTTAACAAGGAACATAGAAATGTTGTGTTCATGTTTATCCTTCAGTAGATCAGCTTGTATCTCTTTTATATTTTATTTTCCAGTTTTCGTAATAAATACTCTATTGATAAAGCATTTGATATTCTTTCATACAATTTCTTTATACTTGTAGATGCCATACAAGTCCAGGCAATCATGTTGAGTGAACATTACGGGGTGAGAGTTACTCATTTATATTTTATTATTTTTTAAATTCAATTCTTAAAGTATTTTTATGGTCATTGATCATTTCATAACATCATCCATGTTACTTAACTTAGAATTGAAAGATAATTGATAACTTCATGCAATTAAGTTGCTTCACAGCATCCAAGTCGGTCGGCTGGCAAACGTAATCATAAGATGATAATTCATTGCCAAATGTTAAGCCATTGCGTCTGCTAAATCCCCCCACCTCATCTTGTTCTTTGTAGTTTAGTAAAGAATTTTTTTTCTTTATTTCTTCTCACTAGAACAATCAAATTTGTGTGTCCAAAGATTTATGAGTTATTTCATACAACGAAAAATCTTTTTCTTTTCGAAAATGATCTGACTTCCTTTCTGTTTTCATTCTATTCAATTACTTGGCAATGGGAACTGCTCAGTTCTCCTTGGGTGGATGGGTTGAGGTAACTTGCTTCTTCTATAAACAAATAATATATAATGCCATCATCACATTTGTTTTTACTGAACTTTCATTTTCAGCATGCCCTATGTCCTTACAGCTTGGCAACAGCTATTAATGTTTATTTTATTATTTTAATACAAATATCTTCTTTCCTATTTGCTACCCTTTTTTATGTACACATTAAGATATCAAACCACTTTCATCCATTCTTTAGGTAGTAATAATATTATTTTGAAATTCCATTCTCAATCTGACTATTCTTTCATTTAGCATACTATTGGGCTCCATCATATTCAGCTATGCTCTTTGCGGCCTATGTCTCAGTGTTCAACGAATAGTTTTTCTGTTCGAATGGGACACTTTACATAATTTGTTGGAATATCCTATCGTTTATCTATATGGTTACATTACGCCCGCGTATTTATCTTTCATAATTGGTAAAGCTGCTATCATCCTAGCTTTACATGAGTCTACTTACCAGAACGCCTCATTGCCACTATCTACTATTCACGTTATGAACATTCACGGTTTTGGCCATTACTAGTTGTTCTGGTGGTTTTTGCGGTGAACAAACAATTTGTTTTAAAACCTTTTTATAACATTTCTAATTTAAGAACTGTTTCGCCATATTTGAAATCACACAAATATCCAAAAATGAGGAGGGTGGAGAGAAAAGTTATGTATTCGGGTACTATCTCATGGGGCTATGTGCACTCACAAGCTTGGTAAAACACGAAACTCAAAAAAAATAAAAGAACAGGACCTTTTCAGGCTTTTCTAATAATTTTCTTGATTAATCAGTATTTGATGAAATCCAGTACTAATCATATGACTCTTACTCAGCGTTATCAATTGATTGAGAATATCAAGTGAAGAAGTCAGACGTGTTTATCCCATTTCAATGAGTATGTTTCAGAGTTGTGAGAAATGCATTATTACCCATTGCCATATTCGATACTCTCATAACCGTTACGGACTTTGCCGGAAATGCTATTTTCAAGGAAAAGTTCATTCCCATACCTGATCGATGTGAGAATGCAGTCGTTTACATTGTGGTATTTACTCTGATGAATACAGTATTTAAACAAATCCAATCATATGAATTTTTAATTGAAATTTTCAGTTATCCATCTGTTTCGAATATTGTATTCCATTATTCATCATGTTAAAATGGGCAGCCTATAAGAAAAGTGAGTTTTCCTCTATCTTAACAATCAACCGTCTGTATGTATGCTTGAAACTGTTATGCTTTGTGTGTTCTTGTCACAGTTTATGTTTTCTTTTTCCAGATTTACCATTTTGGATTAATTGTAGAAAGCAAGTCGTTCCCCATCGAGATTCAACCGTGATTTTGAGTGTCTTTGGGGACTCTCTTAACCAATCGCCAACTGTCATTGATTATTTCAATCATTTACAAATGGAATGGAATAAATGATTTTAAACTTTAGTATTTCATAAGCCAAAAGGAAAACAATACAGATCATAAACATCATCTTCAGAGAATATTCAAAGCACAAAAAACGTAGTAAAAAGAAGTTTCCATTGACCTTAGAGAGTCATGAATACAACGTTGCTAAGTCTGTTGCGTTGCTAACTTCCACGGATGGAATTGTCCAATACTCCCTTCTATATCCTAACTATACGAAAGAAATGATTACTCCCATCATTCCCGTACAAAATAATCGATTAATTAATGAAACGACTAGTCCTCCTTATGGTTTGTGTTTATTTCAGTTCATTGCACGTCAGACCCTGCATTCGTATTACAGAAATTCAGACAGAACGACGATGGTTTAGTTCTAATCTCAACTGTGTTTTCGTTTTGCTCTCTTTTATGGCAATTATCCTAATAGCAATTTTAATTTTGTCAATTGTTTTTGTTGTTAAAATGTCCAAGGTAATTGCTGCTTTATACATTTGCATCCATCTTGCATTCTCGTACTCATAGGTTGAATCTCAAACCAGAAGCTCAATGCGAATAATTCACAAATCAATTTCTAAAGCTGTTCAAGTTTGAATTTCATAATTTTCTAATAATATTTTTCTTATTTAATAGGATATGAGCAGTTCTCAAATTGCTCAAGCCAGAATGCTTTCAGCACAATCAATGCTTCCATCTCTGTCCATGCATCCTTCTGCCGCCAATATGTTACAAAAATCTTTGAATGTTATTCCAATTCAAGCTCAATCGTTCGGACCTTCAGACACCAATACGACATCCACACAAGAAAGATCAAAAGATTTAAAGAATTATGAGAATTGCACCTCAACGTGTTAATAAAACAACAAGCCAAATGCTCAATATCTCTAAAAAAAATATATTTTATGAACATTGAACATGTGACGTGAGAATGACGCGTGGAATCACATAAAGCCATGTGAAGCCACGTCATCTCATTTTGCTCGTATGTTTTGTTGATGAACGGTTGCTTCTCTGCTGGAATAGTGGCGCATCCCAAAATTTATGTTTTAGTTCATCCTGGGTGGTCAATCAGTAAAGCTCATAAATTAGGAGAGAAGCAAGCATGCAGCAGCCCAAAAACAAACGATTGTTATAAATAGAACAAAAGGAATATAAACGTTTGATTTACATAATTGTTTTCTTATATACTTTAATAATTTTCTAAATTTATATATGAATCTATGTATATATTCATCTTAATTTATACATTTTATTAAATATATTTCATCCGAATAAGTTCTCAAGATGTTGTCTGCCAGGTATACTATATGTGTGTGTGTATGTGTGTGTGTGTGTGTGTCCGTAAGATATGCAATGTGAAGTCCTTTCATACAGAAAAAAGGTAACCTGAACTTCTGAATAAATATTTTATGCCCTTATAAGGGACGTTATGTGTAGCATGTTAATTGTTCAAAATATTCAAACGATGTGCCATTATCATATTGTCACACAAACAGCTGAAGATATTTGAAAATACACTATTCGCCTCACTAATTGGTCAGCTTTTACTATTTTCCATACAATTTCTATTCTTTTTTTCTTCTTTTTTGCATGGTTGTTCATGAGTGTATGTTAAGCAGAGGGCTTTAAAGCTTAAAACAGACGTGTTGTTGCTCATTCGATTATGACGAATGTAATACAGAATTAATACATTATCATGATAACTATTTTGATCTATCGACCTTCAACATATCGTTGTAAACTATAATACAAAAAAAATATTTTTGAACATTCTGCTTGTAAGCTGAAAAGAACCTGATGATGCCTAATCATGTTAATAGCTTATTTTATTGTAACTTTCACGAAAGCAAATGAATAGCCGACAGCTGAGCTGAAGCGAACAGAAGCACTACAGTGGATGAATATTCACAAACAGGAAACTCAAAACTCACAATGTTGCAAATAAGTTTCATGAGAAAATCAAAATGTCTTTGTTGTTTCATCGAAAATTATGATGTGGATGATAACATCATTGTGGACACCATGCCTATATGTACACGAAGCTCAAAAAAACATCCTGAGGAAAGCTAGTGAGAACAATTGGTATCATTTTGAATTTCAGACTGTTTGTGAGATTTTCGCAAATAATTAAACAACTTCCTTTGTACGCAAATTCAAGCTGATCTCTCTCTCTCTCTTGCTCTTTCTCTCTCTCTCTATCTCTCTACGGCATTTCACACTGATATCTTCTTCTTTCTTCCATATTGAACAGGCCATCGTAGGAGTACAAATTCTTTCATTCTAAATGTAATTTTCAATTCTTTCAGAAAGAAGAACGAAACTCTAAAAATTACATTTCTTTATCCTTTTGCCTTTAATATCATTAGGATTAGCATCAATTCTCTCACAAATATACGTTGCAATTAAGCCAAATCATCTAAAATATTTTCGTTCAATCGACTGTTATCTTCACGAATTTAGGTTGAGTAACACCCCCTCCCCTCTTTCTATGTCTTTCATATCTGCAACACGTTGAGATGAATGAGCTTTATCGGCTGCAGCTTACATTCCTTTTTCATATTATTAGTGTGTTTCTTTAATCATATTCATAGAGTAAAAAACAAGTTGCATAAGTTGAGGATTGGAAAAGAAGCTCATAACAGCTCAAAAGTTGATACGATCAACTGAAAAGAATCAGCGTGTAAGAGGGTGGTAAAGCGGTTGTTTAGAAGAGTGAAGATTTGTGACGACATTTTTCTTATGAGGCTATTGCTACGTATTTGTTCTCATCAGATTAGTTTCGGATCATTCGTTTATATTGAAGTGGAATCCAAGAAACAGAAAAATGATTTTGAACTTCAAGCTTAGAAGCATGAAAACTAGAGACCATGGAAGAGCGTGATCTTACGGTTCCTGGACAACAGCGTTAGAGAATCTAATAAGGGCGTCGCTAACGAATCGTGAAAGTTCAAACAAGCTGAACTTTCATTCATGATGTTGTGTTCTAACCTGACGTCATGCGACTGTCCATATTAGATGAACATGTATCATGTAATGACCATCTTAAACAAAATGGCATAGTCCCTTGCTTCTATTTTATTTTTCTTCTCCAAAATTATATTTTTTTTTGTGTTGGTAGTTATTTTTTTGTCATCAAGGCATGTGTGCAGGTTTTGGTGGAAGATGGAAACAGTTGTCCATCACTAAATGCCAACCAAATTAGGAAAGCCATATTATAGAAGACTAGATGAATGAAAGAATTGTATTATCTGCATTGCATATCATGCATCGCATAAATGTTAATTCTTCCGTTTAAGGCTATTAATTTATTCTAGTTTTTGGTGACTTTGATGTGCAAAGCATGAGCAAGACTGCATTGTTTGACTTTCAGTCATTAACCTTCCATACTACCTGTTGTGCATCTTTAAACGATCACGTATTCTATTAGAATAATTATTTGTATAATCAAAGGAAGTGTATTTGATGATTATACAGAAACAACGAACAAAAAGGATTTTTGATCAACAAAAACAGTTTATTTTTCATATTTGAAATGATATAAACTGGAACACCAAGATTTCTATGAAGCTTTCTTTTACTGAGATAGAGGCTTGTGATAACACAGTTCTTACATATCGGTAAGTCGGAATAAATAAAGGTTTTCTTCCATTTTAATCTGATTTCTGAGCTTATGATCATCCGATGCGATTCATATAGCTTTTCAAGAAAATGTCTTTAGCTCGACTATGACGTTTACTGTTTATCATCGGGGTTCGCTTTTCCAATTGCTCAGCTTAACACGGAAAAAAATTAAAGAGGGGGAAGTCCTACTTACCTATTTGTGTCTGACAATGGGGGAGGATTCGGAAGACTTGTTCAATACAAACAATATCTTGATATTCGCATTCGAAAATCAGACCACAATCATCTTCTGTAACAGAAACAATAAAAAAAAAAAGATTTTTTTGCATTTTTTTTTGCGATTTTTAAAATAAAATTATAAAAATTTTATTTTTTTGTTTTTCTTTTAGTAAATTGAATTGCCCAAACCTCTTGGAATGATTGCAGCACCTACGGCACCCACAAGCAGAACAATACCAAAGCAAGCGATATATCTCAACATATCTCTTAAATATTTCCTAAAAATAGCCGGCTGAAGCAGATGAACATAAAAGGGAAAAAATAAAGAAAAATTCAATTTTTAATCGAAAAACAAATAAGTTTGCTCACAGATAAAAGGAATATTGTGGCGGCTGGAAGCTTAACTATTATTATCTCATAAAATGAATTATAGAACTATTCAACACAGAAGCTTTCAAGAAAAAAGCTGCCGGCTGTTTCGGGAGAGATTAACAAGCAAACGATATGATCGAACTACCATAAATAGAAAGAGATGGAGAGAATGGCAACCAGCGAGAAGCTAGATAGAGGTGAAGTAGAAAAAAAAAGAACAAGAACAAGAAGATGAGGAAAAGAGCAAGCCGGAAAAGGAGGAGATGGAGGAGGAGGAGAATGAGGAGGAGTGGGGTCCATCTCTCAAGTGCGGTTGTCTGGACGAGGGTCAATTTATGTCTAGTAAATGAATGGAGTCCATAGAAATACATATATGGGCGTGAGCTTTGTCAAGCTTACATAATATGGAATATTTTGAAAAGTTGGTAAGGGTCAGTGCGGATGACCAATTCATGAAAGTAGCATCCGATGAACAGATGATGATTTAATCAAATTCCGAATGAAATAGCTTTGAAAGATTAATTCTGGACAGATGAGAAAGAAAGTGATGACTATGATTTGTAGTAGAGAGAGAAGGAAGCAAAAGAGCAACTACATAACCTTGAATAGGCTCAGCACGTGTCACGAGAGGTACAAATGCAAATTTCGGGTTTTGTGAATTCAGTAAAGCAGGTCTTTGATGTGCTGGGGAGAAAAGAGAAAAGATGTAATTTTTTGTGCCTCAAACGCTAAATTATAAATTTCAATTAGCAATTTCTTGAGTAAAAAATCCTTCTGAGAGCTTAGCGATTTACGCTGGTAAATCCAGAGATCTGGAAGTTAATTAAAGAATATTCGAAAGATAAAAAATCGAAGAACAAAGGGCGGATAGAGGCTATGAGGTGTATATGAAGACAGAGAGAAAAAAATTGCGAAAAAGAGAGAGAGAAAGCGAACTTTGCTTTGAAGAAATCCCAAAACATAAGCTCAGTGGCTAACTAAACTGGTTGGAGATTTCTCATCGTATTCGTCATTATACTCTCATTTTTTAACGTCATTTGCAGTAAAGGCTTCAATTATATTTTTGACTAGGGCACGTTCTCAGATGAAAACTCAAAATTTGAATAATAGGGTTGCTTTTCTTAGAAAGAGGAAGAAGAATGAAAAAACGGCGGCTGAGGTGGGGGTGGATGAGGAAACCTGATATCTGAACTTCTGCCAATTACTCTAACAATACAAATTATATGATTTGAAAATGGAATATTATAGGCTCAACGACAATGCGTCGTTCAATTTGTTCATTTGAAGAATGCGAAAGAAAATATAAAATTATGATAAGCTGGGCGTTTCGCTTGCAAATGAACTTTCCGAGAAAAAAAAGAGGGTGGAGCCTTTCGGGATTTTTACCATGAATTGTCTGAAAATCTATTAATATCTGGTTAATTCTTGATTTAAGTAACTTTTGTGCATCAGCTGCTACTGATTCAGATGGAATAAACAATGATTTGCATACATATTTGATTGAAATAAAAAAATTATGAAATTACGTTATGTGAACAGACAGAGGAACAAGAAGAATGAAATGAATTTGACGGATATTGTGGTCTAAGCCAAATCAAGTACCATAGTAGTCCTTCCAAACGAAGAAGACGAAGAAGAAGAAAGTGTTTTCATCAAGAAGGACAGCTTGACGAACGAGTCGGGACGTCCGATGATGCCATAGGTAGTCGAATACATATGGATGGAAGAAAAAAGAATAAAATATGAGACAGAAGATGATTGCAAAGAAGGTATTAGGGGAGACAGATGATGCACGTCTTGGCTGCTAAAAGATGGAAAGCTAGATCATGGTAGAGGGTTGGCGATAGAGAGCGAAATAATCTTCTCATTAGTTATCCTAAGTGAGCAGCATTATTATAATTTCAAGTGTTAATATATATTAATATAAGCTTTATAGAGTTTCATTTGGAGCTTTCCGATGACAGCCGAGTGTGGCATGTAATTAATAAATATATGATAAATATACAATTTGAACTGATGAAATATTTTAATTACCGTAATCATTGCTCTGGACATGAGAATTTCAGCAAATTCTGAGAGTTTCATTTGACATAATTGGCTTGGTAGCAAAAAAAATGCTTCCAAGAGGAAGAAGCTTAGATAGAGAAAAAAGAAAATTGAATTCTCATTGCTTCTGGGAGTGGGAGTAAATCAACAACAACTATCACATTCATACAGGAGTTGGTTGATGAAGAAAGGAGTAAGAGAAAGAGAGGAGTGGGGGGGGGGAGAAAAAACTTTTTTAATATTGAATATGAGAAAAAATGGAAAATGTATACAAGATTTAATGTGTTTATAATTTAGTTATTCTTTGTATATTATTCACATGCACATATACAGATATATTTATTTACTTTGAAGAGAAAAAAAGAAGAAGAAGGAAATATCAGAAGCGTATTCTTTGGAGAAGAGCGAACCATTTGTGTACAATTTGCCGTTCTCAGCAGACGTTCTCCTATTTCAATAACTTGGGACATCCGAATAAATTAGGATACTCTTAATTTGCATATTCGAGCCATGTCGTTACTTTCACGTGACTTCGTCACGTCTATCCAGAATAAGACAAAACACCTGTACAATTGTGTATATGTGTATATATGTGTATGTGTGTGTATGTGTATGTCTGTGGATGGTTGTGTTTAGTGTGTATGTGTAGGGTGTCCAGCCCAGTTGGAAAAGTCATGTCACATAGAGCGGTTGCATTAACAGGTTCGAAAAATAATTTTAATTTTGTTGTAAAGCTTTTAGTCATTGAACTTCGTATTAACTCTATTAATAAAAAAATATTTCATAGGAAAAAAACGTCAGTTCCAGAAAATATCTCAGATTGTCGAGAAAAGCAAAAACATCTGAGAATGATTAGAGCACGTTCGAGAAATATTCGAAAGGACGAATAATAAAGATTTCGTCTTGCGATCTTTCATATTTGAATTGAATGTAAGTTTTGAAATTATTTACAAACTTGATGATTTTGTAGGATTTAGCATGTTGTTGAGACAACATTCCGAATAATTGAAAAGAAAATATTGAGAATGAAAGATTACGGAAGGTCAGTATACATATATTCTAAACTTATTCTATTCATTAGTCATTCCAAAATAGATTTTGGTCTTGAATCCATTTGATCGAAAATTGGTTATTGGTCGGAAAACTTTTAGTTCAAAATTAATATCAGGTATTTCACACTTATAAGTAGCATTGTTGTATATCACGAGGATTTTTTCCTGGATCAAGCATGTACGAACATGGATTATGAACGAGAACGCTCATGGTTTACGTGAACATGCAGCAGCGTGGCGCAGTGGAAGCGTGCTGGGCCCATAACCCAGAGGTCGGTGGATCGAAACCACTCGCTGCTAATGTTTTACCCTTGTAAGGAGAAGACGGAACTATTTTATAAGTCCTACCAATAAACAACTTCCAACTTCCTCATGAATTAAATCAGGACATAGATTTTTAAGTTTTATTGTGAACTGATTATACTTCAGGCACAGAGGTCATAGGAATAAGTTAAACTTTAAGCTTGCACAAATCAAGCGAATAAATAATTTCTTCAAACTCTGTCTCTTAACAGCTTCGTTACTGTTTTATAATTTTTCTTGATCCATTCAATAGTAGTTTGAATTATTTCAATTTTGAGTGAGAACATAGAGTACTCGGATGCATGTGGAGCAGTTCTACGGAATTCGATGAGCTGAACAGCAGATATAGAATGAAACATGATAAGTCCTTACTTGGTTCAATTCAGCTTCGTTCCTGATATTCGCGATACAATAGGAAATAATTCTTCCCAGTGTTGCTATATCACTTTTGAAACTTGAAAAAAGAGAAGGAATTAGTGATGTCACTTCACGGAACTTACTTCTCGTGAATTTCATTCCAATGTTCGACAAGGAATTTGAACAATAATTCCATGCCGATTTTATTTTTTGAAACATATTGGAAAACAGAGGATACATCTTGGAAACGAATAACATTACCTCTCTCGATTGCCATCAATAATAGGCTTCAAAATCAGAAATTTCTTAATCTTACAAAACCTTCCAAACCTCTTCAAAGTAACGGGATCCTGACTGCAACCCAAAGCTGTTAATATATTTGTTTGTTCCATTTGAATCGGTTCCTTCTTATAATATTGTAACATCTGAGATTATTTCAACTTCTCAGTTTCTAGCGCATGAACCCAACCTTCTCAAATACTCCTTGGTCTCCGTTCTTGACGCCAGCGCAATAGACGTGTTCTCTAAGAGGTGCAGCGATTCTGAATATACATAATATTTATCACAAAAATGCCTTTTAAAAGCTTACGAAACACATTTGCTAAGGAGTTGATTTGATTTGCAGGTGTTCGTTACCTCCGTAGTAAATGTTTCTTTCAATAATGAGTTACACTCTACAGACCCATGGTTACAGACGAATCGGAACATACGTAACTCTCGCATACTAAAATCTGTGAAGAAGAAAATTTTCTGAGCAACATACTTTTTATAATATTGAGTTTCGTCTAAGTAGTTCTCGGCAATGGAGTGATACGTTTCCTTGAACTTATCGATATGAATCATCTTGCTCACATAATCCTTAATACATTGTTGAGAGACTCTGACTCAAACTCATTCACGTACATCGTAATACCTAGCTTCAGGCTCTGTTCCGAAATATTTTTCTAGATCTTTCATGCCGTCGATGAAGGCAGAAGTAGGCATGTAATCCTGCATGGCGGATTGAAAAGTATTGTTTTTACAGACTTACCGTATCGCTGGTGATGAAATCCAAAAGATCAAATAGTGTGCTATAATCAACTTTTTCAATAGCAGCCATTGCAAACGCGTCAGAGATAATAGCATAACGAGTAACATTGCTGTATACCTATAATGAAAAACATATTTGATCACATTAGCTAGATAATTCAACTGTATGATCTGCTTTCAACTGCTTAATAATCTTTTTCCAGCCATCCACATCGTAGTTTTGTCTGAAGTACGAGCGAGCTTCCACATTCAACACGATTGGTTCTTCTTTATGATTTTCACCCAGGTTAAGATATAAATCGTCATCTTAAGACATATTGATAATCAGCAAGTGTCAAGGTTAATGAATAACTCGCCTCTGGATAACCAAACCATTTTTTCCGTCTTATCTCCAGCTTTGTACCAAACAGGTACATCCCATTTGAATCTAGGTAACCATTGCGTCAAGTTATATGAATGTGTTTGTACTTGTATGTTGGATTTGCGTATTTTTCCTTTTCTTTTGCATCAGGATTTAATTTGTATCGGGTTTGATATATTCTGACGGAAGTATCGTTAACATTTTCAACAGTCAAATATGGAAATCCCATCTAAAATAAACTGTTACCGAGGGCCGGAAAGGAATCTGAAAAAAACCTGAGTTGTCCACTGACTTGCAAATTTCGGAATATCTAGTTCAACATCGGAAGGACCTATTACTTCTGAATGGTTATTTAACGCAGTCCAAAGATCTGCAGCTTGAGCGTTTGCATAACTGTGCGTTGTTAAATATTCCTGAAAATCGAGTATAATTCAAGATGAACCAAAATAATAAAACAAAAACATAAAACAAAAATTTGGGCCGAACCGGGATTTGAACCCGGGACCTCTCGCACCCAAAGCGAGAATCATACCCCTAGACCATTCGGCCACACTTATCTCAAACAAGATTAGCGTTGTAACACAAATTCTTTGCAAGCAGATAATCTTATAATTTCTACAAACTTACAAACAATCCTTCGTTGAATTTGTCTTCTTTCATCACATTTTTAATCATACGGATAATACTTGCACCCTGGAAAGGAATTGAGTGAGCATAATAACTCGAAAAACTTTCAAACAAACTTTGTCATATGAGATGGAATCAAAAGCTTCTGCTACTTCAGCAGCTTTGTCGATTTTAAATGAAAGAGGATGAGTGTTAGCTTGATTATCTGCGTCAAAAGCAGTACTGAGAGATTTTTCAACGAAATAATCTTGCTAAAGAGTATAAATATTTGCAACTCAAGCAAAATACACAAACCATTTTATAATTTCCATCACTCATTTCATTAGCTCCAAGATACTCGACATAGGTAGCAAAACCTTCATTGAGCCACAAATCATCCCACCATTTCATAGTAACAAGATTTCCAAACCACTTCAATAGTTGAAATAGTAAATGTAGCAAAGGATACATTACCTGGTGAGCCAATTCATGAGCAATGACGCTGGCAACTCTTCGTTTTTGTTTTGGTGGCCATAACTTCTTGTCGTACAACAAACTGTTCTCCCTGTAATTCAACAGTAAAATTGTTCACGTCATTGTTCTCATTACCTATATGTGATCAGTCCCCAGTTCTCCATTGCTCCAGCCGCGAAGTCGGGTAGAGCAACCATATCAATTTTCTTCAATGGAAAAGGTATTTTGAAGTATTTTTCATAATACTCCAAGCATTTTTGTCCAACTTCCGCAGCATATTCTAAATGTTCTTTTGCTTGCTTAGGCCCCCACACACGGAACTAAACAATCACTTAATAAAGAAAAACATTGTTTGACCAACTTCAACTCTGTGATCGCCTTTAGCCTTAACGTGTTCAAAATCGCTGACAAGGATGGCCAATAGATAACTTGACATCTTGGGTGTTTCTTCGAAAGTAGTTAACTGGAACTCATCTTTGACACTGAAAAAAAAATATCTTATCATTCCTTTGTATTTTCGGAACAAAAAGCAACCGATATCACTGATTATTTTGTTTCAAATGGTTTTTGACGCGTACGAGAGAGAAACGCATGACGGTATGCTAATCTCGTACGTGCACTACCTTCATACTCAGCATATTTAATAGAAGGTGCTTACTCTGTGATGTTGAGTGGATAACCATTTGATAACGCCTTAGTGCCCTTTGGGTGGATCACGCTAATAGTCCATGGGGCTTTATACTCAGGCTCATCTAAGCAGGGAACCATCTGGCGTGCTTCAGTAGCTTCCATCTGAGTCACAGCAGCTATTCTAGAAAATAACTTGAATTTTGATGGGAAATTAGCCAAGGTTACTTTGTGGTTCCATCAGCATTCTGATAAACTGATTGATACAATCCACCAAGATTGTTATTGATCAATCCATTGTATTTGATCTGAACTCTCAGGTATATTCTATCCTCAGCTTTTTCTATCTTACCTTTAACTCAACTTTGGAGCCTTCTTTAACTTCATCATCCAAGTCGAATGCGACTTTTTCCAAATGAGGAATCATCATGACACGTTTGATTTTAACCGGCTCATTGTTCTATTGAAGCACAATTGAAAGAGTTGAAACAATTTTAAAAAGGGATTACCACGGTCAAAGAGCATTTGTTATCTTTAATTGTCAAATTCTTGGCATTTAAAACAAATTTTCTTAATGACTTTAATGTCACCAAGTTTATTGTGAGCTGTAAGTTTCATGCTTAAATAGACAAAATTCTTTTTTTCTAACCTGTCCATCGAATGTCAAGTTCTTCTCTTTTGGTATATCAACATACCCAGGTAAATATGTTTTGATTGTGAGGTCATAACTAACTGAAAATGTTTTGTTTGAAAACAAATATGACAAAAAAAAGAAAATAAAGAATAACCTGGCTCTACGCTTCGCGGCAATCGAAGCTCAACAGCTGATGGTCCAGAATCTTGTGATGGAGCATCATCCCTGGAATTGAAAAATAAGGAAGCAACATAGAATATTCATGAAAAGCAGTAGGCCATGTGTTAGACATCACAGTATTATTCACACAGAATGTACAAACACACACAATTAACTAACGTGGCTATGGATACATCTCTACTTTCCCTGCAAAAGTTTTTCAAACGTAATCATTTCAATGATTATCAATGAATTCATCTTTCAACATATTTCCAAAGCTGAGATACTAACCTCGGATTTGATGGACTATAAGCAAGTTTTGTGAAATACCAAGATAATACAGCTCCAATAGTGAGTGATGCCACAACAGCTACAACAATAAGAACGAGATTGGTTAATGAGCAGACTCCAGACGGAGCCTTAGCTCGGTCGGCAGTACCCATTTCCTTAAAAACATATAACTGTATATCAAAAGGTTATGAACAATATCAACAAGATATGATAAAATGATTAATACTTAATACATAATGCCATAAATAAACGGTTTTTTTTTGGTGTGGGCCCATCTATATGTGTTGTGTTGTGTTTATTGAACGATATGATCTTCAAATATTTTTTTTGTCCCAAAAAATACAACATGACCAGCTATAAATTATAATTTTACTTAATCAACGACTTACATCAAGAAGAGGAGTTGAGCCATAGTGAGGGTAAACCCTTTTCATTTGTCAAAACGGTGTGCTTTCTTTGGATCAATGATGGTCAGGTCAGATATCATTTTTCTAATTATGATAAACAACAATTGATTTCTCAATCAACAAATGTGATAAGGAAATACGCTTTTTCAATTTGATTTACTAAATGAAGTTGTGACGATAGTTCAAAACTCTTTATATTGCTGGGTTTGCATTGTTTTCTTTCTATGAAAGATGAAACAGAAATAACAAAAAAATCTTTTTTCTTTCAACCAATCCCATCATATCAATGGACACTAACTGTCTCCTCAATAGAGCTCCACTGGGTATGGACACATGAATCAATAAGGTTATTAGATGTGGATAGAAACAGTTATAGAGTTCGTTTTTTATTCGATCTCTTGAAACTCGGTTCAAAAAAAAAAGAAAAAAAATATATATGAAAGAATGAATATCAAGATTAGCAACCAGACTTTGGTGAAGTTCAAAAGATTAAGATTTACGATTGAACTACTCAAAAGCGAATTTATGAAGATCTAGCTGATAAGAATGAAAAATGGAGAAAGAAGAAAGAAAGAAAGAAGAGTTGAGGGAAGAGGAAGAAAAAGTAAAACAAAGTACAAAAAGAGATTTGTATGAGAAAAAGAATGAGACATGGGGTAGGGGGGGGGGGGGGGGAGGGGGGGGGGGGGGGGGGAGGAAGGAGAGTTGAGGAGAGGACAAGGGTCGGTTGTGTAGAAGAGGAGTATGAGAGTAGCAGTCCATTCTACGAAAACATCACATTTCAGCAGTTGATTGAGAGTTCATTAGAAATAAGGTTCAAACAAAAAAGGATTAAAGCAAATTCCTAACTGAGTGGAATATTAGAGAAATACGAAGAGATGAAGAGAACCATGTCACGTAAAGACGATTAACTAAAGATCTAATGAGTGAAGAAATACGCGTTTAGCACACAAACGAACCACAATTTCAAAAAGATAATCTGATCGTGAGGATACAAAGGTACAAAGGTAAGCACCATTAATAGAAATACTTTCAGAAGGACAAAATGAAATGTTGAAAGAGAGTGAGAAAATGAGCGAAAAAGCGAAATATAAAACAAAATCACAGGTCAATATCTTTTTTTTTCTTCTGTTTCTTTCTTCAATTTCATTCGTTTCTGACTGCTGCCTCACCACTACCACCTCCTCTCCCCCCCCCCTCTTTTCGTCTTCATAATACTTTCGACGTTCATCTTCAGTCTCACGAAAATTTAATGAAAACAGCTTCTAGTCGTCTGCATATTGTGAGAAGGACCTGAGATCAGAATGTGCAAAAAGATCTATGTAAGTTTGATGTAGAAATAAGAAGTGGAATAAAGCCAACATCTGGGATCAGATATATGACATGAATCGCATAGCATTCGTACAACATTCTCTCATTACGAAGAGCACATGTAACGACCGTCAAATGTCGAAAAGGAGAAAAAAAAATTTTTTTTTTCTCTTCTCTTCCTTCTTTTTTTAGAAAAAAAAGGAAATGTTTCAATTTCAACTCATCTAAATGGTCCATTCTCACTGACTAAATGAGAACAAAACAAAAAATGAATTGGATGCACATTTCTTCTTTTATTTTTTATGTTTTATTCGCTGACACCCATGCTCTCCTTTTCGCTCTCTATGTCTATACTCTCCTTAGATCTCTCATTCCTTCACAGATAATAGATTCCAATCGTATTTCGCGCGTCCTTCTCTATTTTTTTAAATATTTTATATAAATTATACATATAAATACATATGAATTTTGATAAGAATGATGATATTGTGAGCAAGTTGACTGAAGAGAAGTAGAGAGGAAACACATACGGAAATCGTTGGAATGAACTATAGAACAAGTTGAGATGCTTTAATAATTTCATTTGTAAGCACAACAACTTAATATGCAAATGATGATTGTGATCTGGAATACCAGCCATATATCGTTTATAAATGGATAAATTGATTTGTTATCATCCAACCTCTTTTTTTTCTTCTTCGTCTTCATCATATCTTTTATCCAAACAAAATATTCAATAGAGAGAGAGAGAAAAAAAGATAGAGAGAGAAAGATAGAGAGAGAGAGAGAGGTTAAGAGTAAAAGAGAGAGTGAGAAAGATAGAGAGAAAGGACAGCGTGAAGTGAAAGAACAAAAAACTTGTTTTGTACCGTTATGAATGACTGTATTTAAGACAAAAAAAAACATTTACAATTGTATTACATAATGATTTAAACAACCTGTGGTAATTCTTTTATTATTTAAATAAATAAAAAAATATTATTTTGTGTTAGCCTGTTGATATCTTAACATTCGACACAAGCAGAATTACTGTTATGAATATAACAAATACAAATGACCATACGGCACAACAGGCAATTCTGAAAACAGTCGAACAATCGTCATTGTTATAATCATCTTACATCTGTTTGCTATTGTAATTAGCATATTTGATGTATTTCACGTCTTATACGTGACAAGTCAGTTTTCGACGTGAGATGATCAAAGAGAAACAAAAAAAACATTTTCATTTAAGATATTCGCTCATAATCGGTTGCTTTTCTCTCTTCTGAACACACATACTCACATACACACAGTCACAGACACGCACACTCCCAGATACACAAAGAATTCTTTTTTTTTTCTTTCAAGTTTACTATCTAAATATTAATTTATACTTTCTACTTCTTTTCTTGTTCATAAAAGATTTTTTTTGTTGGAAGAACGAACCCTCTTTGAAATAAATATGTTCGTTCATGCTCAATACTCTCAATCGTCACAACATCTCCGACGTAAGACGGCCTAAAACATATTGTTTTCATTAACTTTCTATCTAAAAATGTATTTTAAGCTAAATTACGTTACCCTGAAATGGAAATGTCAAAGTCCAGCGAGTCGTCATCGTCATCATCGATGGTCATCATTACATTCTCGGGTTTGAACGCCAGCTCTACAAAATGAATTATATTTTATTACTAGCTAATATTTTTTTAAGACGAAAAACATATAACGTAATATGTAAAGTGTAGATCAATAAAAAACATTTTGTTTCATCTTCTTCTTCTTCTTCTTTTCATGGCTTCCTCCTTTCCTACATCTCTCTAACCTTCCCTCCCTATCGCCCCCACATCCTTGCCATTTCTCTCTTCTGCAACTCCCTCCTTCCCTCCATCTTTTCCCCTCTAAATCCGCGCAATATGCAAATACATTTTCTCATAAAAAATATTAAAAAAATATAAATAAAAACACCTCGAAAGAGGAAAAGCTTCTCGTTCTCACATACAAATGGTCTGCCAAGTTTATCAGAATTTCAACGAAAACTCATTCAATTTTTGGCGAAGTTTTTCACATCAGATAGCTATAATATGGTGAACTTCAATCCTTTCTTTACTCAAAACATGAAAGTCCATATGGTTGTATACGGGTAGAATACGATGATAGAAATAGAAAGAGAGAAGGAAGAAACAGAAGAAGTGACATAGAGAGAGAGAGAGATGAAGATAGAGAGAGAAGGAGATGAAGCAAATGAGAGGAGATATAATGAAAAAAATGCTTTTAATTTCAGGCTATACGATCAGAAATTAAAATAATGTTTAGTGCAAACGGGGATTCTTCGAATATATTCTCTCATAAATAAGGATAAATGATTTGAACGGCATATCCTTGAGACATAAATTTCTGCCATCAGACATCTTCAATGCTATTTGCAAAAGATATTTTAATAAAAAAAATAGTTTATACGTCAAAACAGGCAAATTTAACATACAAAAAGAAGAAAGAGAGGGAGTGGGATAGATAGAGAGGGAGTTAGATAGACAGAGAGAGAGATAGGGAGAGATATTGAGAAAGAGAGGGAGGGAGTTAACAAGAAAGTTGTTCCATCTTTTATATTTGGCAAAGGAGCAAAGTTGGAGGTTAAAAAAAAAATTGAATATGCAAATCAGATGGCAAGAACATCAAAAGTCAACTGAAAGATTCTATCCTTATGTTTCAGAGTGTCTTCAACAGGCTGATAGAGAGAGAGAGAGAGGAATAGAGAGTAAGAGAGAGCTAGACAGAGAGTAACAGAGTTGTAGAGAGAGAGAGAGCATGAGAGAGAAGATAAGGATATAAGCTGAAGAAAAATGAAGCAAAAATCATTAGGAATAGTCAGAAAAAAAACAAATAAATTGGCAAAATAAAGTAACTTCTAAGGGAAGGATTGACGAATACATCATTTGAAATCCTAAATAGACTGATGACTGACGAAACTGTTGCATTTTTAACTTCAAAAACTAATCTTTTGTTTACGTATAACTGAAAAAGATTAAGTATGTGATAGACTAAAAGCCTCATTCATACTTCACATAACATCTCATTCTCCTTCCCTTCCTCTCTCTCTCTCTCTCTCTCTCTCTCTCTCTCTCTCTCTCTCTGTTCCTATTTGAAAAGCTTATATCGTTGTTAGAGGTTAACATATTATAAATGAAAGCAAAACGAATATAAAAGATGGGCAGAAGCTGAAGAACTACTTGAAAGTTGTAAATATTTGTGAAATGGTTACTAAAATTCCTTAAGGAATTTCAACTTATTCCCATCTGTCAAATTTCTTTTGAACTGAAGAAAAGCAACATACTCATCAATTGCTCTCAACGGTCTATCAATTTCATTAGAAAAACATAACGAATTGTCTCTTAAAATGCTTCATGAAACTTATGACTAATTTTAAGCTTAAAACATATGTTATAGCTGTAACAAGCACCTAAAGCAGTCCAGATAACGTATTCAAAATAACAAATTCTACTTCAGCATCAGAATAGAACAAAAAAAAAAGAGAAAAAATACATTTGCGAATAGAAAATCAAAGAGTGCGCTGTCCACGTTATGGACTTGTAATTCACTTTAACTTTGGAAATGGATGTAAAGCGGTTGCAATAATCACTTCCTAATAAAAAGAATGTTTGGCAGAATTGTAAGAAAGAGAGGAATAGAGATTGAGAGAGAAGATTGAACACAAAATAATAATAATAACATGTAGAGCATTCTTTCCGATGATGTATGTGGATGTGTAGATGTAGATGTGTCTGTGTGTGTGTGCCTGTGTGTGTGTGTGGAAGGATGGATGGATCACATGTAGATGACAGAATATAGTCTTTTAAGTGGAAGGAAACAATTCTAATGAATAGAAGAGGTTAGATTATTGATTTTCATCGAAACCTATTACTTTTAATTCAGAAATTGTTCTTGTCTATGTTAAAAACAAATGAAAACCATTCATACTCGAGTATTAAAGTGCATTTTCAATACAAAACCAATGAATACATTCGTCTTCTGGAGAGGATATGAAGATGATGATGATCAGAAATGACGAAATGAATGAATTATAGTTTTCACTATCACTATTATGCTAATTTATTAATCGATCAACAACTTGTGATGCTGATGATGTAACATCCATAAGCACATATTCCATATGCTAATTGTGCACGTGGCGACGTGAGTGCAGCTTGCACTAAACACAAATAGTTTCATTTCAAATGAAAGTCTGATGGATGCCCGTGGCATATTTCGAGATGAACGACGTGATCGGCTTCGCAAAAAAACAAAAGTTGGATTTTTCGAGGATTATTTCTTCAGAAGGTGGAGCAAAAATGATTTTGTTTATTTATTTTCAAATTATTATTATTATTTTTATTCTTCGGACATGAAACTTCAAAATATTTTCAGCGAAGTAACTGATTATAAGAAATTGCGATATATTGTTAATGGATTCATTGGCGTGATTGTTTGTACATGCATATACTATATGGGATGGAAACGATTGAATTTTGCTGACTTTCATCCCATATACAGTATACTGTTTCAATGGGTTATGATATTAATGATTGTTTTTGCATTCTCTGCAAGTGCTGTCAGTGTTATACTGTATCTAGTGGATACTTGATTGTTATTATTTAAGATGTTTCGATGCGCACTGTTTTGCGTTCTACTAGGATCTTTAGGAAAGAATGGACAAGGCATGTTAAGCAGCATGTGAAAACAACTTTTTTTCTAACAAATTATCTTAATCTAGCTCCGCTCACCATGATGCTGTTCGACAATCTACGCGAAGGACCTATGGAAAACATAATAACAAACTACCGATTGACAGCAGAAATTATTGTGTGTCATTTAGAATTGCAAGCCAAAGTTCATCAGAGTTTGATGAAATATAAAAAAAACAATAATTTGTTTATAGATAATATCTAATAGAGTGTCATTGTTTACAGGACCCTTAGAAGCTGTTCTGGAAACTCAATTGAGTGAGAATAGCTAGAAGCATTGAAAATGATCAAAATGTTATTCAGATCGGGGTCTCAAAGTATTGAAAAAAGCAACATCATTTGTACGAAGGCTTATAGCTCCATTTATGAATGAAATATCTCCTAAGTATACGAAGGAAGATGAAATACTTGACAAGACGGATAAACAGTTACAGGTAGAGAATAAGAATAATAGAACTTCAAGATAATTAATATGTTTTGTGAGATTCTTGTCCGAAGACGAGCATTAGGTGTGGCTACAGATGATGAATTACATTCATTAACGGAGCTTGAAATGAGAAATATAACAAACTCCCAACCATTCTGGTCTCGCTTCAAGACAGACGTAATTCAGATGAAGCTGTTGAGACGAGAGGGATCATCATATGTTCTTTAAGATCGGAAGAAGAATAGCGCATAGAATGTCAAAAAAATGCAATGATATATTCTCCAAAGGAGTTGAGACATGTAGGGAAGTTTTTCTTGGAGTCGAAGTATTAGCAGCAAAGCTTATGTGAGATATAATGAAGTTATAGAACAAGTGTTATGACACTCTACCATTTATAATCAACTTTCTTGTGTGTAAGCGGCTGAATATGGAATCTGCTTGTCAGGCAAGTAGAAACATCATAAACATTTCAAAAAAAATTATTTCTATTCATTCTATAGGATATTGATAGAAGACGAAAATCATTCAAATTGTGTCAAAGTCATTTAGAATCATCAAACATTGGTTCGGCTATGGAAGCAGACATTTTGGAAGTAGCTAACCTAACTACTGAATTAGATCGGGAAGCAGCTGTTAATGTGATCAAGATGATTAAATTTGAGTATTAACATCATTTACTCACAGATTCATATGGTTGGAATAGAAAATCCCCGTGTCGAATTCATTTATAGTATTAGTGAAATATCATTGATGGTTCGTCATACTGCTGCTCATGCAAAGGCAAGTCACAAGTACTATTGAGCTTCTCTTCATAAACATATTTTAGGCTCTAATGCTGACATTGAAGCAATTTGTACAAGGATTACTTATATTCTTCGTATATCGAATATTTCGTGATTCCGTATCAATCATACATAGTTACAATAACAACATTGACTTTCAAAATAATTATTTAACAAGGTGGGTGGCAACATAGGAATGTACAAATATGTACTTGGACGCACAGAATGGTTTGCTTTCAGAAGTTTTTGGGAGATAGATCGAAATAGGCAAAAAAATGGCCAAGTAGCTCTAATACATATTAATCATATGGAAATGCAAAAATGGAAATTACTTCATGTTGTTGGGTATGCTCAATATATAGTTCGCGAATCAGTTATTCAAATCAGATGGCCAACGGATGATGAGATTGAAAAAGCTAAACATCCATTTTATCGTTGGATCATCTTAACTCTTATTATATTGTTTGTAATCGCTATAGATCATTATCTATATAGCTTTTTGTACAAGGTATGATGTACAATCATATTTTTGGATAATTTTTGACTTATAGGTTGTCACATCATCGAAAACCATCAAAGAAACTGAAGAAACTGCTCAGCTTCAAGTTCTTGGGGAAGGAGTTGTTGCAGAATTTTTGCATAGAATGTTGAATATAAACAGAACTATAGAAGTTGACCATGTGATGCTCTCTTTTTGAACTCTCAAACAACATGAGTCTTATAGGTGAACAATGAGCACTGTTTATCATTGCCTACGAGACCAGACTTCAGCGAACGAGTGAAATGGCTTCTGATACCGTTAACTATTTCTCTAATTATGCAGGTATCAGTTTATTACACTCCCACTTACTGTTTTGAACTCTTAAGGTTTTATTCTCATTTGTTATCAAAAGAATAATAATTAATTACTTCTTACCCTTCATGTACCCTCTACGGGATCGTGTTCGCCTCATTTACTTTTATAATAAGGTTCCCAGAATTTCAAAATTTTATCATTTGTTGACTCAGATTCTTTTCTTACGAACAACATCCCGTACGGAAGCTCGTTCCAAAATAAGATTTAGCGCAACAAGATGGAAAATTAATGCGAACAAAACGGACAGGTTTGTTCCTGGAAATACGTCAAAGCAATTGCCTATTCAGAAGTTGGTTATCACCCAGATCATGGTTCAAATTGAAAGTGCTTGATCGAATATTTCGAACAGGCCAATGCATTATGTGTGAAGTAAGAAAGTCAAGCTTCTTCCTCAATTTTAGGATATTTCTCAGACGTATATGAAGCCTGTGAAGCTTAAGTATTGCTTGGACTGTCCAGCTACATTTTGTAAATTTTGTGTTGAAGAAACAGGTGGAGATTGTTATGCTTGTATGGTGAGTCCCGGAACTAGAGCAATATAGCCAGTTTTCATGCATTTGACAAGTTCCTCATCAATTTCAGGCTGAAGATGGAATAGTTAACACAGAGTACACTATGCCTACTATAGTTGAATCGGTAAATACTAAATTAATAAAATATTTTGGAACATTCCTATTTTAGCTTTCTGCGATAAGACGAAACTGCGAAGAGAATTTTCAGGATCATGTCCAAAAAGCTTATCAAGTATGATCTTTATAGGTATTCCCTATAAACTAAAGAAACTATTTAGGTTATTTAGTATACAAACCACAATTGATCCTAACTATTAAAAAAGGAGATGATGTAGCTGTTATCACAAATTTACAATCGTTTATGGGTTTTGAGCATGCCAATAAAGCTAATTGATGGCTCCTACTTAATTAGTTCAGCTGATCATAGCAGAGATATTTGATTCTTTTTTGATCAGCAACTCTTCCTTGCATTTGATGATCTTCAACTGTTTACTACTTCTTTTTTTACTTCCGAACGCAAATCCACTTTCTACTACGGATACAACAATTCTGACTACATCTGATCCGACTAAGCCAACAGAAATGCCTCTGGTAGATTGCTATTCTGAGATTAAAGGCATTTCCTCATTCGGTGCATTTTTATTTTTTTCAATATTTCAGGTCAATTCATTGGTAAGGCTTTCAATGATCCCGTTACTACTGTACACTGCTCTGAATCAGTGTATTGTCAGAAAATGACAGCCAATTATTGTAAGTCATGCCTATGATATCATTAATGAGCCTAGCTTGCAGTGTCAATAAATGGAGAGACACACGTGACCATGAAAGGTTGTGACGAGATGAGCATTCCGGGAATTTTTGAGGGAATCGAATGTAATGTGAGTGCTTATTTGTATTTTATAAAATATTTAAGAAATTGTAGTATGAGGGATGTTTCGAACAAACGATTAAAGAAGAATTGTATAACATATGCTGTTGTAGAGGAGAATTATGCAATGATAGCAAAGAATGGAATACGTCTTTACACTTAATTATATCATTTATAATATATTATTTAATTATTTAATATCACAATATTATTATTACGAGTTTATGTTATATTAATGGACAACAGTGTGTATGTCAAGAGATGTCAAGATGATTCGGCTCTGAAACAACAATTTGTATGAATAGTTATCCATAATTATATGTATATGATTAAATATGTTAACTAGTGTTAAGATAAAAATCCTTAATGATATTCAAATTCGGATATGTTGAACACGCAATCCATTGAATATTCGTGAAGTCATGAATTCATGAATGTTTTTATGACAATGATCTTTCAACTTCAAAGGTATTTTAAGCAATTGCCCAAAGTTATACGAGAAAACTATTATTGAAAACATCAGAAACATGTTTGTGAGCTCTGTTGCTGTTTTCTCTCTTTCTTATGTTTTTTATTTATTTTTTTATTTAATATGCTCTCAGGGAACAATGTATTATAAGCGAAATCGAAGTATTAGTCTTTTCTCGCCGTTGCTATGGGCAACATTCAAATGCCTCAGCTGTTGGCAATTTCTCTTCATTCCGCATTATACATTTCTCCTTCTTTCCTTCCTTCAATTCTATCTGTCAACTTGCCTGTCTTTATACTTTAGCTAAGTATAGTTGTCGATCTTTCCTTTACTATTCATCTTATACTTTAAATGACTTTATTCTGAACTTATCCACTACATACCCCCTAGGCTACACAATGTCCGGATTATCGCTCATAAGAGCTTTAGATCAACAAGATAGAGAACAAGCTACGAGTATTCTGCAGACCATGCCGGTATTAAATTTTTGTCCTCTTTCTTGTCATTTATGGTTTGTTATTTAGTCTGAAGTTTCCATGAAAGACTCAGATGATCGAGTTGCACTTCATTATGCTGTTGAAACTATGGATTTAGCCACGATTGAGCAGGTGTATGATCAAGATCCCACATTAGTAGATTGTCAGGATAGAGTAGGGTAAGTCATCTTAGTGAACATGCTTTAGAGCTATCTGATATACAGACATACGCCGTTATTATTAGCTGTTATGGCTGGTAGAGTAGATGTCATTCAGTTTCTCTTAGAGCACGGAGCTGATCTTGGCCATGTAGACAAGTAAAGTTTGTTCATATCTTACTCGAATTCATTCTGTATATGTAGAGATGGACATTCAGCTGTACATTGGGCCGTAGTTTGTGGCCAGCTAGATGCTTTAGTATATATAATTAAGAAGAAAGCAAGTGTTTCTGTACCAGATCATTTGGTAATTGACCTCTTTTTCATTCTCTAAATTATTTTTTGAAGAATTCAACACCTCTTCACTACTCTACGGTTTCTGAAGATATTCCTCATGAACTATCAATTTCAATTCTCCTTGTGTTGTTAAGAGCAGGAGCTAATCCTAATGCTGTGGATATTGATCAACGAACACCAATATTATGGAGTGCTAGTAATGGTAAGAAATTCAAAAAAACTAAGCTTCTATTGAAAGTTTTGTTTGAGGAAATTTGGAGGCTATTCAATCTTTGAAGCAGGCAGGAGGGGATATTCATGCTTTAGACAGAGATAGATTGTCTGTCCTCCATTGTGCTGCAAGTCATGGATTTCATGACGTAAGAGAAAATTTACTGAAATTTTAAAAGCCTATGTTTTTTATAGATTATTGATTACTTCATGGAATGCAGTCCAAGGAATTTTGTAGATCAACGTGATCGATCAGGCCATACTTCCTTGTTCTATGCTGTCACGTTTGGTCATTATGAAGCGACCAAAAAGCTTCTGGCTTATGGAGCTAATCCAAATCATCAGGTAACGTCTCGATAACCTGAACAATTTAAATGTTCTCATTGAAGGATAACAGATTGAGAACACCTTCGCATTGCGCTGCCGCCAAAGGACAACTCCGCATGCTGAAACTGCTTCGGCAATTTTCAGGATCATTTCAAATTCAGAATTATAGAGGAGATTTACCTGTTCACGAAGCTGTCCAAGCAGGTGGTAAAGGTAGACGCATCTAAGTTAAACCTCTTATTTAATCTATATCAGATTTGGTTGAATGGTTCCTTGCGTTGAACCCAGAGTCTATTGATAGTCAGAACCATGAAGGTAGGACATGCCTTCACTTGGCTGCTGCAACTGGCAACATCGAAATGGTCGTTTTCTTATGTTCTCGAGGATGTTTCATCAATCCTCTGATGCTTTTCAAAGTAAGCTATGACTTGCTGATTTAATGTTAAAAATTTATTCGAAGGGATCTCTGTATACTCCACTGGATCTTGCCATTCGCAAAGATCATCAAGTGATAGTTGAATATCTGAGAATGCGATACAGTGCAGTGAAAGCTGAAGATATTGATGAAGGAACTAAATCACAAAGTAAATCGATTTATGAAGAAAAAATAGAACAAGGTACTGAAGAACTTGAAACAAAATAACAATTTTTCTGTTGAGGTCGCCTTCGAGTGGGACGACATCTTGAGAGAGAAGAGAGCGTTACCGATATGGCTTCTAGCAAAAGAAGAGCACGTGTTCCACGCCGGAGAAGTTCTGATGCTTACGACGAGGAGAGACAATTTGTGAATGCAGGAGTGAATACAACAGTTCGATGAACATCTAGACTCTATTATGTGAAAAATTTAGGGTCGAAGAGCTTCCTCTGCTGATGGGAGAGGACCTGAAGTTAAATCCACCTCTACGACTGACTTGCAAGCACAGTCAAAAGAAGCAGCTTCATCCTTTGCCAGAGAGTTGGCTAAAGAGCTTTCCAACATTCGGGTATATCCAGTAATAAGAACAAATAATCATCTGCTTTAGAATTTCGAAATGATGAAATCAGGAAAATCTGCAGTTAAAGCAGATAAACATCAAAAATCAAATAAAAACAAATCCGATGCTCCATCTCCTACTAAAAGTACAAGCACTGCTGACTTCACGGTCTGCTCCTCCTGATATTTTACAGAATCTTATGTTTTCTCTCCAGGATCTACCAGGAATATCGGATTCTAGCGATTTAGAAGATATGGAGCCTACTCCTGAGGAAGTGATGAAAGAAAACAGAGTGCCAGAGAAAGCTTCTTTGCAAAAAAGAAGTAAAAGTGAACCAAGGGAGAAAGTTTGTCTTATCTCATGTCCTTGTTTCATTCAATCGTTTAAGTCTGCGGTTGCCCCTGACAGAAGGAAAAATCTACGTTTAGTTTCCGGAGCTAAAATGAGGAAGAAGCCAAACCAAGTAGTTAAGATAAAAGAAGTGAAAGGAGGCGACTCAAAGGTATTTCAGTTTCATCATATTTTTGTATAATCATATCCCTTAGAACAAAACAATAATGATTGTGAAGAAAGACGATCAGCGTAACGCAGATGTTATGGAAATATATGAAGATGATTGGGAAGGATTAGAAGATCATGATCATCCTGTTGGTAAGTCACGTTAAGTGTTAGCTACACGCAACACGGATCACGCATGCTTCACGTGGTTCACGTGGGTGGCTCTTTCATTTCTAAAATAATCATTCTTTGAGCGGCTGCATTTTTAGTGATGTGTTCATAATTATATTAATTCTCTGATTTTTCAGGCAAAGATGCTGCCCGCCGATATATCCATGAGAAAGCTATTTTCCAAGAACTAACTCATTTGAAGAGAATGCAAATACAATATGGAAGAGTAAGTTATTCATGGTTTTCATTCACTTACTATTTTTGATTTTAAGGTGCAGGAAAAAATATTAGTACGATCGCTAGTTTCGAATTTTTGTAAAATGCACGGATTAGACCCAGCTAATTTCAAATTTCACACATTCTATGCTTGGGAGAAGTTTCTTTATGGTGCGTTCAGTTTTCTAATTACGTTCTCAACTGACACTTTCTGTTTTGTACCACACAGTATAACACTTAGCAACCCTCCCTTTGTTCGTTAGGTTTATGAAACATCTTTAGCATACACTATATCACATTTCACAGTTTGAACAGAATATCCATCTATACTCAACTACGAAAACTGACAATATCTGTTGCTGAAACTTAATCTGTAATCTAAAACTATAATCATGGACGAATATCAAAGCAAATGAAAAATAATCGAGAGAATAGCTTCACATGCACTCACTCCATCTTAAGCCTGACTTTCAGACGCGCTTTCAGACCGTTTGAAGACAATTTATTTGGATGAAAGACAACGTTTAACAATTGCTCGAAATACTCCAAAGCAATTGAATGACAAAAGCTCACATTTTGAGACACGATTGCGTCAAGCCAGAGCAATACCTCTTAATGAGAAAGTACAAAGAATGAGTCGAGTAAGTTGCTATAAGTATTATGTTGTTCGCATGGTCAATGATGACGTATAGCTTGATGTACGTTTAGTGTGTATTTCTAAAAAATTTTCGAAGATTAATTTCGAAAGAATTTTAGACAACTCTTTGAGTGGCTTTTCTATATATTCTGCTTTAGTTCTTAATCTCTCTTACGTGCCAAAATATGTTTGACATTTCAGAGAAATGTGGTGCTATAAATCGATCATATCATTCTGATTTCGTACGATTTTTAAAAAAATCTAGATTACTTGCTGCTCATTATATATCATACTTATATTTATATATATATAGAGATAGATATATATATATTATATAGCTCATTAGTATCCAGTTTATTCGATTATTTTTTTATTATTATCATATATAGATATATATCTTATTTGGAATGAATTTATTTCAAGGTATATGGAAATGCAACAATGACATCACACGCAACGATTGGAAGACGACGTCCACCCATGACTTTCGTATTTGGTGAAGGTGAAAAGCGATGCGACTGTCTTTCTAAGCATTTATTAATTCATAATTAAAACAGATTATATTATGTACTAAATGATACTGTTTTTGTAATTATTAGTTGATAATTGTGGTTTTTATTTCTTCTTCTTCTTCATCATCTTCTTCTTCATCTGAACGCTTGTCAGTATTCAATAATTGTAATCTGGTGATAGATAGTTAGAATATAAATACAGATTTTAATGAATGAGGAAGAGAAAGATGGTTAATAGAGAACTAACATGTAAATTACCCGATTCAAGACAATGACTCTGATTAACAACGCATAGAGTTATTATGACATACACATGATCAATTGATATGAAGAATAAGGAACTCAAACTGGCTATATGAATACAAACACAAATCATCAGAATAGCTTTCCTTATGTCCATTATATGTTCATGAGTTTCATTTGCAATTATTAACCCTGGTTTGCGTATAATGAGTTGAATAGATCAACATTTGCCTGAAGAATAATAACATCCCGTTCGAGAGACATATGAGCTGATGAAAACTTGAGTGGAACTCTGAAATAGATGAATAAGCGTTATGTGCAAACCACATGAAACATACTTCAAACTTTTTGTGTTCAGTGAGATACCTCTCATCATAAACTTATTCATTAAGTTTTCTAAGGCTGTTTGTATTGTGGCGCGGAAACCATCTAAGTCTGAGGCAGTTAATCCGAAGAAATCAACAGAGTTTTCGAAAGTTAATCGAAGAATTTTCATTTGACCTAAATCCCGAAGTTCAGTGAAGATTGATCAAAAACCGGGAACCTTTCACTAAAGAATTTTCAGTTTGCATTTGAATTCTGGCCAAAGAATCGAAAGGAATCACGCCAACTTTCTGGCGAGTACCTTCTAAGAAGAACAAACATCTTCCTGATAGCTCCAAATATAGGTTATCTATGAATAGAAAGTTATTCACTTTCATTTGTCTCTATGTATCACCTTTCTCAATGCGTACTGTTGGAGCTTTCGTTGTTCGAACAATCAATTCAAAACTACGGTCCGGATATTTTTGGCCAACCTGAAACGATACATTGTAAAACATTTACAATTTTAATCTTTAGAATACCTCTTCAATTTGGTCCGAAATACAGACTTCATCCAGAGAACAAGTTGTTTTTAGTGTTCCACCAACTCCTGGTGTTTTTGAATCGACATGGAACAATAAAGAATTCGTTCTGAATCCAAGCATATGCTATTGATACATCTCTTCAACATACCTGTGAGCTTGGTACAACAAACTATTCAATGTATAATTCGAGATAACAATCTCTGCTTGCCGAATCTGTTCGGCTTCTGGGAGACGGAAAGGGAAAGGAGGATCAAATGGTGGTGATCCAGCTGAAAATTCTATAGAGATGGAAAAGATTAAGCACTAGTACGTGTTTTTGTGGTAGTCACGGCTCCATCCATCCCAACAGTGAATTCAGTCATAGTCGAATAAGCATCTAACAAAGTGAGGTCAATCATAATATGAGACAATCTTTCCTGAATGATAAGGCAGTTGTTAAGACCGGTGGCTAGATGAACATTTTTTTACCACATTGAAGAAGTTCTTAACATCTGATCTATTGATTTTGAAGGATCCGGGTTCTTCAGTGTTTTGAGTTGAGAATGAGATCTGTTTAGGTGTAGGAGTTGTTCTTTTAGAAGAAGACGATGATGGAGAGGATTCGAGGTCATCGTAGTAGTCGTCTGAAGCAGCTCTACGGTTGCGTTTGAGAACTAAAAGAATTTTGAATTATATATTGTTATATTCCATTCTTACGTGTTGTACTGTTGGTTTTTGTCAAAGCTTCATTCTCCTGAAATTAGTATCAGTACTATTGAAGTATGGTTCTACTCACAGTTATCAGAAGTTCTACGAGTTCTTTAGCTGAAATTTGATTAGGGAGTCTTGTGAGTCGGGTAGAAAAGTGCTGCTGAGCAAGACGATTCATGTTAGCACATATAGCTTGTTCCAACTGTGATCTCGATTGGTCAGACATAGTTCCCTGAATTATAAGAATTATGAGGTCATCAAAATCTGTATCTGTACTCTGTATTTAGAATTCACAGTATCAGTAAATATTCCCATGTTCTCTACTCTTGTATCGACGAAGCCATGGTCCAGTTCACAGGACAAAAATCTCAAGTAGGGCTCATCACCGAAAGTTTTTTGCAAATCCAAGTAAGCCGTCACAGATATACCTCTGCCTGTTTTTTTATGGAAAACAATGAATGTTCGAAAAGTTAATATTACCTGATACGTAAACGCTACCGGCTACTGGAATCTGTAAGAGAACCTGAATTGTTCCACTTAACTGGCCAGTTACACTGAAATGAGTGATTCATCAATCTTGTGAAGATCTCCAACTGTACAATATGTAATATCTCATTTCTTCCAAATACATTTATCCTCCCATGCTAATTTCAAAACTTAATTCCACAGAACCATCTGAGAAATTTAAAAACACGTGCTTGCGCTTGTGAGGCTAAGCCCTTCAAGAATGTTGAACATTTAAAATTCCAGGGTCAAGGATATATTCCGTTCACTTTTTCCCTGGTCATGCTAATGTTTGGCGAATTTGAGGTGTTGTGTTGGAAAAATTTGAATGAATAGGTATCAATGAAAGGACACATCTGACTGAACTCATTTGATTGATTCGCTTACAACTACTATCAATCTGTCTCTCTCTCTCTCTCTCTCTCTCTCTCTCTCTTGGTATTGGATACCATTAATACTGGTCAAGTCTCGTATTTGAAATTTGTTTGTCACTTTAATCTGTCATACATATGTTAATCGTTCGCATGGAAACTTACAAGAAATCGAAATCTGTTACCCGTAAGGCAAACTGATTAGGTGGTGAAGGCTGAAATGATATTGAGCGCGGTAATCGGAATGATGTCATACGGAATGAGTGTATCTATAATTGACAATAATCTTGAAGATATCCTTGGTTTTCTTTTGCAATCTATGAACTTTTAAAATAAAAACCACTTTCCCTCTTAATCCCAAAGTTCATTTTCTAACAACTTTTGCAACAGAGAACAACAAAAACACTACTTTATGAAGATTATCAACATTATTCGTTTTGCTTTCTGACGTTATAAGAAAAAAAAATTAAATGAACAGGTTTTTAACTCTCCTGCCATGCAACGTCTCAATCTTGAAGACTGGTTGCTTAAGGTAGTGATGACAATAAAGAGGAAAGCGACAATGCCATGATAGATTTCTAATAATTATTCATAAAAAAAAGTAAAATACCTGAACACATCCTTCCGTGAAGCATTGTTGTGAATTGGGTATTTGGATGCGAGGAACCTCGTACTCAACTAATCCAGCTGAAATTATGTGTATGATAGAAGTTTTAATAGAGAAAACTGGGAAAGTAACATTTAGAAAGGTTTGTGAACACATTAACATCATGGATGCAACGCATACAACGTACGTTTCAAACTATTATGATTGTGATCGCAGATGAGCGTTACGATGCATATTCGATTCTTTCTATGAAAATCACTGAGTTAATAGATTATGTGAGAGCAGGAAGTTCTCATGACAGTTTCTTTTCATGCAAATTTCAGGAAGTAATTCAGTCTTACCAACTATGGAGGAGGCTTGCTCGAAAATTCCTCTGTTCAGCCGAACACGTATAGCTGGTTTAAGTTGGCAGTGTACCAACAAGCCGAAGTAGCATATCTGAAATAAAATCAGTTCATATGTAGTCCCTGTTTTATAAGCCAATTTGGAATTTTGAGTTTTTTGCCTCCTCAGTTCACATCAATCAAGAGGCCAACGTACGCAGCTGTTTTGGCGCAATAAGCTTCTACAATGCCAAGTTGGAATTGTCTGTGTAGAAGTTCAATGAGAAATACCAGATCCCGTTTTCAAGGGCTTCTTTCTTCATACTCTATTTGGAACTCAGTTGAGGAAATGAAGAAAGGATAGACAGTCATAGTGAAATAAAACGAGAGGAGCTTTGAGGATTCAACCTCGAACCCTGACGACCTCGACGACAATGCCTTGCATATTATTGGAAAATTCGAGAGATCATCGGACATCGTGACTTCAGCGAACACCTTTTCTTTCTTCGCAATCATTAAGATTTGTCGACCAAAAATACTTTCCCGAATTTCTTGTAAAAGTACCTACAAAGGTCACAGATGATTTTCAAAAAATTTGAAGTGTGCCCCTACACATAATCTGTATTTTCTTTTCATTAAAAAAAACATGTCCTGTAAGATGTGAAAGTCATCGTATGACTATCGCCTTCATGTTTTCCATAATCAGAAGAAAAAAAAGAAGATGTGCCAGGTTTAGAGAAATCATACAAATGGCAGAACAAGTCCTAAACTAGTATGAAAAAGTGTATGTAATTAGACTTATTTGTAACTTTATTATCTATTAGATTAGGACATTCGATTCATGACCGATTTACCTCGTCCTAAAACAGTAGAGAGAGAAAGTGTAAACTCATTAATGTTTTTAGAATTCAAAATCCATCCTTTTGCTGACGTAGTCAGTTGTAAGTGAGTGCTAAACTGGATTCAAAAGATGACAATTGTTAACGAAAAAAAGATATTTAAAGGTATTACGTTAATTAATAGTATATTTGGAAAGGTGTTCGACCCTTTCATTAACTTCGCGATACCGAAAAGGAATAATATTTGCAAAGTTCATCTATCTTCAGAATAATATTTTGGAATCGGGGTTAAAAAATGTTTTTATTTCAAAATTGGAATGTGCTTGACCTATAAGAGTTGCTAAAATGGTAGCTTCCATATGGCCGCCAAGGTGAACTATTCATCAGATATACGGAAACTGTCAGAGTTGATGTAGTTCTCGAGGCGTTCTCCCTAATTCCCCTAATTTGGAGAGACGGATAAAGGGGCAACTTTCAAGCTCTCATTATATCTTATACATCTTGAATTAATAAAACATTAGGAACAGAAGTGATTTCGTAGAGCGATCAGGCAGATGAATCTCGAAAATGGTGCGGTTTCACAGCTGGTGTCACCTATCGAGAATTCGTATCGATGTCTTCTTTTGGCGTAGTTCAATGTTATCTCTAATCCGTATGGATAGTTTTCTACTCTACAGCCAGAAGAGTTTGGTATTAAGGATGTATGAGTGTTCCGACAAAAAACATGTTGAAGAAACACGAACAACCACACAAAAAATGGATCGGCGACAAGGAAATAGAGAGGGTATTTCTGTTATCACGACTGCCCTTTGTCATCGTAGTAAATATGCGTGGAACCATATCTCAAGGTCTTCTGATACTGAGAAAGACTACTTGAACAAATTGGCCGGTCAGTCGTTGTAAGTCATAAATTGACAAGGTAAGTCACTGATTCATTAAGAATTTTTTTCTCATCATCAAACATGACAGAAGTGAAGAAGAACACGATGAAAATCTGAGATCAGTGTAATCGGATCAATAACTGTCAAATGATGGGGTTCAAAGAATAACTTTCTTAAAGTACGTGGGAAAACAGTACTGTTACGCGTGATTGACTCAAAATTACTCTCCAAATATAGAAATACAGGAGAAAATAAAAGAAAATGAAGATAATTATTAAAAAATATTAATGCCTTACCAAAACAATACGGAGGAGTTGCATGTTCTAACGAAACAAGTCACTTCAATTGACTCCTCCCACTTACCCCCGCCCCATCTTATGAGAAAACTAAGATTTACGAGAACAACACTAACAATAGATACAAAGAAATCACAATTCTTCAGCAAAAAGAAGTTGTAATAGCTCTGAGTTTATTCTTTGTTGCAAGTTTATCAAAGGCAAAATTAGAAAAAAGGACTAGAAAAATTTGCTGGAATGAAATAATAGGGCGGTATTAATACAACTTTCAATCATTATGCTAAGTAAGGGAACTTGTTGTCTTTTCTCAAACATTTCATAAACTCTATCCAGACTGTAAGTCGATTAAGGTGTTCCCTAACCAAGATATACATACAGAGGTGTATATATAGATGTATGTATATGAGAATATAAATATATATGTATACATTTATATTAATGTTAAACTTCAGTAAAGAATGAATCTAGCTCATTGCGATGCGGATGATATGACAAGGTAGTTGGGTTCGCAATTTAGTTAAGGAATCGTATGGACATTTTTTCCTCAATATCAGTTTTCTCCATGGCCTAAAGATATAGAATAGATATTTGAGACATGCATTTTCTCACTCGGCAGAACTCCTCGAACGAGATTCGACCATCTTGGTCGCCATCGGCCTCCTCAATGGTCCTGTCAGCGATTTTATCCAACTGAATTTATGGATTGTACAACTGTTTCAAAATACAGGCCTTACCTGTTCAGCAGTTATATTAGCTCCGACCATACTGTTGAGTATTACTTTGAACTCTTCCCTCGTGATATAACCATTCTTATTGAGATCGTACATTTGGAAAGCGACTGAACATGAATATCACATGACGAAAGGTTGAGTGAAATCTGAACTTACATCGCAATTTCTGGCTACGACTATTCAAAGAGTTGCTCTTAGACCTGTTGATAGGTTGGAAGTGAGCCAAAATTCTGACGAATTGACGGAAATTCAATTGTTGCTCATTGTCTCCGCTGTAAAAAGAATAAGGAAGTAAATGGATACAAGGGGTGCTTATTACGCTAAGGTGAAGAAAGCGTCTACAATACGATCTCCCAATGGATTGACTGCTAACTCAGGCACATTTAAGAAGTCATCTCTGGATAGGAATCCTTGCCCTATAATGACGTGTTCCCCAATCAAAAAGTACAAGATGTCAAACCTTTTTTGTCGAGAGAAAGGAATCTGCTGTACAAACGGACGATTTGGTTTCTGTTGACTATAATGTATTTGGTGTTAATCAAACAATAGCTTATCAAATTGACAAACTCACATTCAGTTTCTTTGACGATTTCGTCAATTTCCTCTTCTCGAAGCATCAGAGAGCTGCTGTTCCCCATTTTCTTAACAGATGATCTGAACAAAAAAGAGAGTGTAAAACGATGAAGTTCAGGCGTGATGTAAATTTTTATCATTGTCACCAGTGTTATATAAGTAACCATATCATCCCTTAGAACAGGAATCGAAGGAGTACAAAACAAAAATGAAAAACGCAATAACAATTTTCATTTGAAAATTGTACAATGCTGATGTTCACACGGCAATCGTCCATCATTTTCCAAAATTATTAACAAAATTTTGGAATGAACAGGTTTTTCAACACGTGCACAAAACATTTTAATAAAATTTGAATAAAAAAACTAGGAACTGATGCAATGACAACAGGGTCTAGTAGAATGGATTCGATGTCATGGCGATCAATTCCTTCGTGGAAGATCAATAATGATCCTTCATTCATGTGATAAGAAATCTCTGATAAAAAGAAATGGCATGCTAATAGCAACGAGGGTTCACAGAGAGAAAATAACTGAAGACAGGAATCGATTCCAAAGTGACTAAGAAGCGCAGTTAAATAGCGGAGCATGTGATCGGTTAAAATCCATTGTAAAACGATCAAGCACAGTGAAATAATAACTAAGAAATGATAATCGATTATTCCTGAAAGTGTTTCTAAAGGTTATTCAACGCACGCAATGTCGAAAAGGGAAATTGTCGATTAATAAATCTTATCGATGACATCGGTCCAAAGAACCTTTGTTAGTCGCCCCATTGAGAAAGACATTGCGACTCTTTTCCAGCATAGCAAATGGCACTTTTTTGAGTTAAAATATTTACCTTTTGTATAAATTTGGGAAGATGACCATGGCTAAGCTTGGTAGAGAGAATGATAAGCTCAGTCCTAGCCTTACCCATGGATCTGGTTTGTAACTATTGAGATAACGTCACATCAGCTAATCAACGTCCCAATTCATTTAAGAACCAGAACGTGAGGACAAAAGACCAAAGACAAAGCTAGATGGGTAGTATCCAGATGCATACGAATAGTTTAATCTGTTCAACACCCCAGATAATCACTGCCGGTCGGAAACCTCATTAGATGGAAAGTTCAATGATGTCATAATGATTTATTTAGGCTTATAATCTGTTATTTGAACTACTTTGGAGCAGCTATTCTGTTCGGATTATATATTTCTTCGTCATCTTCCGAACTTGAATACTCTACGTCTTCATCCATTTCTTCATCATCATCTTCCTCATCAGAGTAGTCACTATCACTAGAAAAAAACACATGTATTCAACGTTTGCGATCATTATCTACCTGGGAGGAAGCATATCATCATCAATCATAGGGTGATCGCCGGTGTTTCCTCTCTTAGCATTCCTAGTCATCTGTTCAGCACAGTCTTCGAAATGCACAGGCCATCTAAAATATCAGATGGTTAGCACTAGAAATTCATATTAACATTACTTCTTGATTTCTCTGATGTATAGAACACTTTCTTCATCCAATACATGCTCAATTTCTGCTTTCACCTGAAGCACCAGAATGAGGAACGAATATGAAATGAATGAATGCACCTTGTCTCCTTCATCGATGGATCTAAGGATTACGAACTGTCCGCGCCTCACCCAAACGGCTTTTCTGAACTTTGGAGGCATACTTGCAACGTAAATTTCCCCATTCTGATCTTCTACCTAACGAAATAAATTAATATTGCAGAGAATTCTCTACTTACGTCGTGCAGATTGTTCCCACGAGGACCTTTGATTTGGGCAATAATATCACCTTCTACGGGTTCATAGTATTCCCTTTCCACCTTGGTAAAAAAAAGTTTAAACAGCAGAAAACAGTATGCTTACCTTATTGGTGATGAAACGTCTTTTACTGGCAACAGACATGTTGGCTAGATTTTTGAAACTTCACGAAACTTTCTCAACAAGACTTAAATGTCCTATTAATCTCTTCTTCTTCAGTTTGGTAGTAGTGAAAAAAAATAATAAGAAAAGTCGACCGGAAGCTAACAGCTAACGATCGGAGAGCGCTGAAAGAAACCAATATTAATAATACGCAGAACGATAATTTGTAGAAACTTTTAGGCCAAAAAATGGCTACTAGCGTTAGATCGAAAACGTGTACGCAGCTCTCAAGTAGCAGCATAACGACCCAAACACATGACTGCGACTACAGTAGCCAAATATGAGAAGCAGTTAAAAAAACATTGTTTGAAAGAAATATTAGAAAAATCATAGAACTTGAATTAATATGCAGATGAGCCGATGTCAATCGTTTTTCTCTCGAAGTTCTATCAGTAATCTATCCGATTATGAGTTTCACCCTCAACTGTTTCAAATTCTATGCTGTCACATCTTTAAAGTACGCTAACCTAGGACAGGTTTCTTTCTTCATTGATTCCTTTTTCAAAAATTAATTCCGGGGAAAAAACGATGAAAGTTTTGAAAAAATGTAAAAATAGCTTCCGAGAAAACTTTTCAGGAGCTTACATTATTGAAAACATGTATATTCGTTTGTTTTTGTGTGTTTTCGAAGAAAATATTGAAGTTATGATTCATTTCATAAAGAATAAATGTTTGACTGATGAAGAATACATTCTTCTGGCATCATATTAACAGAATTCATTACAACAAGCTCCGTTGTTGATGATGAATAGTCGTTTCTGTTCTTATTTCTACATAAGGCAAGTTCAAGAACGGTTTTTCAAAAGTATTAGGACATGGAAAGATCGTGTGTAACCTGTTAACTCCTTAAGGTTTTCAAGTACTTGTGATCAACGAATACTCTGTTAATACAAACATCCCATAATTAGGATCAATGATTCCTCTTAGATAACCTTCGAATTCTACTGCAATTTATGGGTCTTCTCATGTCATTGAAAGAACGTGGTATTCTTTCCGCAATCAAAGAATACATCGAAGTTCAAGGGTTATGATCTAAATAAACGGTTGATATGATTGAAAAATATATTCCATGAAATACATACTGCTTTTCTATTCAGATTTCACTTCTCGGAGGCTTCTGGTACCATATGTTCTCTCGGTAAATGATAGTAGTAACTTGTTAACCCAATTAATAAAACTGATATATTGAAATGAGATTGGTTCTGTAGGCTTATAAAGCATCGGTTAATGGCTAAATTCTCTGACCTAAATCATAAAATCCGTTATTTTTAACAGAGTTAGTACGTAGTGTATAAGATTATTTTCGTTGAGCTGCGTGTTACGGCGGCTTGATGATGATTCAAACTTCTGAATCTTTTTGAAGATTAAGTAATTATTTTCCATATTTTAGTTATGAAGTTCATTCTTGTAACTCTTGCTTGGGCAATTGCTATACCAGGCTTGAGCTATGCCCAGGACTGTGCTAATGCACCATCAGAAAGTATTCGAATGATTTGCGAGCAAATCAGCAACTGGAATGTTCAAACAAGAGTAAAAACATTCCATTATAAAATTCCTGAGAATAACATCTAGGGTATGCCAGCTCCCGTAAAGGCATCTTCCATCAGTAAAGCCTCCAATGGATTAGCAGCTATTCCTCAACAGCCTCAAAATAAAGATCAATGTATGACATTGTCATGCTTCTGCGGATTTTTAGGAGGTTAGAAAGTTTAAAGTGAACAATATAATCCTTTGTAGGATCTGGAAATCCTTGCCGTTTGCAAGATGGACGTGTGGTGCAAAGAGCTCTCAGAAAAGAATATCGCGCTATGACGGATAATGAGAGAAACAGGTAGTACAGTTCAGTAAGCTCTATAATTGTTTTTTCATCGCAGATATCATTCTGCCATGTGGACTATCAAAAACAATGGAGAGTACGACCGCATTTCTCGCGTACACTCTCAGTTCCAAACTTCTCCAGGAGCTCATTCTGGACCTGGTTTCTTACCTTGGCACAGAGAGTTTCTTAAGCGGTTTAGCTTCAGTTTTAATTCTCGAATAACGTTTTCAATTTGAGAATCGAGTTCGCCCTTCGTACAGTTGACTTGGATATGTTTGTTCCTTATTGGGACTCCTCCCTTGATTCTGTACTTCCAAACTCAAGACATTCTGTGATGTGGGGTCCTGAACTCATGGGTTCAGTAAATAGCAATAACCAATTAGTCTCTGGAGCGTTTGCTAACTGGAGAATTTTAGACGTGATCAATCTCTTATTTACTCTTGGATAATTTGTCTTGTATTCAGAATTCACGTATCGTTACTCGCTCAACAGGACAGGGTTCATTGTTCACAGAAGCTGAAATCAATAACTTAATGGGAACTTCTGATATTAATCAAGTTTTAGCTGCCACAGCTGCAAGCAGCGTACTGCATTCTTTTCAACGTTCATGAACAGTCTTTTCTTATTTTCAGAACTGTCCCAATAGAGCAGGCTGGTCTGCATTGGAATACACTCATGGAAATCCACATAACTATATCGGAGGTTTGTACAGATATGGACAACTTCCATCATAGATTTTCTCTAATAGGTGATATGCTTGTTACAACCCGATCCACAAACGATCCTATCTTCTATAATCATCATTCCTTTATTGATTTTCTATGGGAACAATGGAGATTACGCTGGCAGGTAGGATAAATATGTCTAGAGCATGAATTAGTTTTCATTCAGTCACGAGATGCCAGACAAACTGTTTACCCACAAACAGATAGTAGATGCTTCTCAAATGTCCATAATGGAAACAGTGAAATGTTGCCGTTCGGTCCCCTAACTATGTCAGATGGACTTACCAATTTATACACAGGTACTATTGAGAGATCATAGAACGAGCACGATTTCAATGAGCGATTGTTCTAAAATAAAAAATCAACCGATCAGTGCGAATGCGTTCATATGAATGAACATCTATTCAACATCCACGTGAGACGTGACTCTCTCATCGAAAAATGAACAAAGCATAATTACTCACATGATCATATAGATTCACATAACAGCTATTATGAATTAGCATAAACAATTTGTTTTGTGAAGGCTGGATAATCACTGGAATTAATTCATTTCCTCTTTGTCAATCTAACCTTGTTTATGAGAATATTTTCAGATGAATTGTTTACTTATGCTCCTCGTACAACGTGTTCTGCATCCAATGTTAACGGATGTGGCTCAAGGTATGAGAAAAAGAAAAACAAATGCAATAAATGGAAATAATTAGGTATTTGTTCTGTGATCTGTCCAACGGAAATCCAAGATGTGCCTCAAAAATTGTTCTGGGTGGAAATTGCCGTGGATATACTCGAAGTATGATGATTATTAAAATCAGTTTCTTTATTATCCTGTATAGATGAGGATGCCTGTTACAACTCAGTTTGCGTGAACAATGTCTGCCAAGCGGTAAGTGGTTAAACATCAAATGGTTTCTAAAACTGTTCGCTCTAGCAGCAACAGACGACAACAACACCTCAAACAACTACAACTACCACAAGAGCTACCACTACTACAACAACAACGAGAGCCACAACTACTACCACTACAACCCGTGCTACAACACAAGCACCCACAACCACTGTAGCACCTTCATGTATGTTTCTCCTACTATTCATATCTTATTGCTGATACAGCTTGTCTGAATGCTCACTACTGTTGTCCTGTATGGAGAGACAATGGGTATTGCACTAGAGCAGAATACATGCCATATATGAGGGAATATTGTCGTCCATCTTGTACCGTGTGCACCGGTCCTAGCAACTGGAACGGTCCAGGTACATAGAAACCTTGAGGCTTGAGAAAACGTTTTATTCAGCTTGTGTCAATCTTCACTCAAGCTGCGCTGCATGGGCAGCATCTGGAGAATGTCAGAGAAACCCAACATATATGTTAGAAAATTGCAAAGTTTCATGCAAGTGAGTATAAGATTTACAATTGCTTTTAGATTATTGATGTCATTTTCAGTTCTTGTCACTACTTGATACCTAGTGTACGTACGGCTATGTGCTTACAAAGTACGCAACCGGTGAACGATTATATCCGTGGACTTCCTTTCATTAGTCAACTCACTCCCGTATTTAAGCAATTCTTTGATTTTGTTCAAGGAAACTATCGGGGCCCACCAGGACCACCTCCCGGTTATCAAACCACACGAAGACCTGTTAATGATTATGGTTACACTACTGCAACTCGTCGACCAGTTATTTACTATACCACAGCACAACCTACTCGTTATCCATATTACATGACAACCCGTCGACCATACCAAACTTATAGAACTTTGGGTAATACTCCAAGACCAGCTGTGTATACTACAGCCAGAGGGTATTACACTCCAAGACCGTATGGTTACAGACCAGGTGCTCCCCTGGTGTTTAGAGGATATGGACGAGTTCCAATTGGAATTTCATACAGCAAAGAAGGAAATTCTGAGCCTCATATAGCTTTTTCCCGACAAAAAATTGCAATGATGCCTAGTGACGCATTGTATCGTTATAAAGCTTATTCTCAAAATAATAGGCAACGTCTGAGTACTCTCGAATCCATCATGGCCCAGATGTAAGATTTTCATAACAAGTTGTTGTTTAACATCATGATCGGAATTGTTTAATTTAATAATTTAATGAAAGATTTCTATTTTCCATATTCAGTTGTGTTTTTAACCGTTTTGTACTTATGTTCTCCGAATTTCCTGATGCAAATTGCTATGTCAATCACAACAGCATCAGTTTCATTTACTTCACTCTGCCCTCTCACAACTTTGAGGCTGTTGATGATGAAGTTATCTGAAAAAAATATAATTAAATAAGAGATGAAAGAGATATGAATTATAAGCAGTCATTTAAAACGCGATTACATAGAGGGTAATTGGAAGATATTGATTTTCATAAATTTGCCCGTAATGGGACATAACTCTCTCTTTCTAATTGTCTATATGTCAATTTTCATAATAAAATACAATTTCTCTGTTCTACCTTCAGATAGATAGCTTTTTCATCAAAACTTCCGTATTTGGGGTAAGCTAGTTGTTCATATAAAATCATTATTTCTGATTGGCTTGTTCGCATCTCTCTCTTTCTCTGCCGTCTTTCTATTTCCTTTTTTTGGACTTCCAAAATCTACTGCTCAATAGAACTCGTCAAAAAACACAACTTATGTATCTGTTATAATCACAGCCAATGATGAGAGTTGTACTTTATTTTTTCTTTCCTCCTTTTCCTCTGTACTTCGTTCGAACCATCTGCATAAGCAATACTAGGTTTTGATTCTCCATTTGATAGGTGAACGAGAAGTCGCCTAGGTAACCCACTTGTCGCACACAGTTTCTAATCAAGCCTTCCCCGCTACTTCTAAAAATTTTCTCTTACCTATCTATCTCTGAAGCAGGCAGCTCTGCTCAATCTGCCATTCAAGCCCATAAGGCAGAACATGCCAATTCCCCCTTCCCTCTTAATTTTATCTTATTTTCAAAACGAATCAAGTGATAATTTCTATATGCACCATTTTATAAAAATTTCAACATTATTTCAACTTTTTCTGTAGTTTTGATCTATTCTTTCTTTTTTTTCTCATTTGCACCTGCTCATAAAAATGTAACGAATGAAGCCTGAAAAGAAAAGAAAGGCTGAGTTACATTTTACTTCAACTGCGATTCTTTTGAGCTCATCAGAGTTGCTGAATTATCACTGTGTGTTCTTGATTACCTTCCTCCTCTTTTTCGCCGTCTCTTTGTATCTCTTTTTCTCTCTTCCATAAAGCTTTTACCCTCTCTCTCTCTTCGTTTTACATCTTCTTCTTCTGTCGTTACATTTCAAAAGAGAAATTTATATTTGTGTGCATGCGTATGTCTGTTGGTGTTGGTGGATGTTACGAATTGAGACATGTTTTTAATAAAATCTCTGAAGTTGTCATGTATAATTTTGATTGCAGATATCTATGAAGATTACTCATTGAGCTTTTGATAGAAATCCTAATTAAAGCGTCATCCTCGTTGTTTTTATTTTCTTCTTTGTCATCATTCTCCTCCCTCACCTTATTTCATTTTGACAATTTTTTTCTTTCTCTCTCTCCCTTTCCTGTTCTTCTCTCTGTCTCACTCTCTCTGTACAGCTTTACCAACTACCTTTCTTCTCTCTAACTACCTTTCTCACCTTTTTTGTTCTGCTCAAGCAGCAGCATGTGTTAAAACAAAAAAAACCGAAAAATAATCATATAAAAAGGATAAATCAGTGGAATGATTAGTATTTGTTTTCCAATGCTATGTATTTGCTGGCCAAAAAAAAGCATTTCGCTGAACATTTTTCTTTTCATTCTTCAAAATTTTTTGTCTATTATTATCTATAGAAAAGTTCAAACTCATTTGCTTTTTCTATTATTTTCTTTATTTTTCAAGGACTAATTGATTGCTTATGGTCTTCAACTCTTCAAGCTTTCACCATGTGTATGCAGATTGAAGATCATTCATTTATCTTGTCTCCCCCGTTTTTTTTATGCTTCCTTTAATTCCCCTTTTTTCTTTCTCCTTTTTTTTATTTCAGAAAATTACTATTCAATGGGCAATTGCGAATCTACAGAAGTCAAAGAACGACGTCAACAGAATGCTATTTCAAAAAAAATTGATAAAGAACTTGCTCCAAAAAATGAGTTGAGAGAAAAGCTATTACTCTTAGGGCCTGGTGAAAGTGGTAAAAGCACTTGTTTGAAACAAATGAAGTAAGTAACGCAGTTTTCTAAGTTCCATATAACCTATAATTACAGATTATTACATCATAATGGCTTTTCTGATAATGAATTAATGGAAAAACGAAGTGTCATATTTTCAAATGTCGTTCAGAACTTATCTAGTGTCCTGATGTTGTTGGAAGAAAAGCATATACCATTAGATGATAGTTCCTTAGAGGTTTCAATTATAAAAGTGTATACAGTGCAGATTCCTCATCATCAATTTCAGCCTCAGTGCCGTTTAATACGCAAGTTACAAGATGAGGAAATACAAGAAATCAATTCTGAACTCAAAAATGCATTATGTAGATTGTGGGCTGATAAAGGAGTAAAGAAAGCATTTGAATATCGTCAAGAAATTCACATGACAGAATCGGCAGCATAGTACTCAATAGAAAGAAAAATTCATTTTAATAACATATTGTTTCAGTTTTTTTGACAACATCGAACGTTTGGCAGCAAAAGATTACAAGCCAACAGTTCAGGATATATTGCATACGCGAGTTCCAACAACAGGAGTGGTTAAATTTATGTTCACGTTTCGTGAAATTAATTTTGAGTAATCTTTTTTAATTTCCAAAAAGCGAAATAATTACGGAGAAACTGTGTTTTTCAGAGTTTTCGATGTTGGCGGACAGAGATCAGAACGAAGAAAATGGATACATTGCTTCGACGATTGTGATGCCATCATATACATAGCAGCTATCTCAGAGTATGATCAAGTTATTAAAGAAGACAATAGTACGGTAATTCACAAAAGAGCCATTTTTAAAAATATCTTTTTGTATTCTAATAATAATTTTTTAAGAATCGTTTAATGGAAGCAATTGATCTATTTTCTGGTATAGCTAATAGCCAATACTTTACTGAATGCTCAATTATACTATTTTTAAATAAAAAAGATTTATTTGAAAATAAAATTAAAAAAGTTCCATTAAAAAAATGTTTCACGTCATATACAGGTAATGTTTGATGAACGAATGCCGTCATCCTCAACACTGATCACTGTTCTAGGAGAAAATGAATATGAGCCGGCCGTCAAGTACATTCGACGTCGTTTTGTTTCGAATGTTAAAAATGGACGTAAACCGTGAGTTTAACTATCGACAACGAATCCTTCACTTTATTATTATTTTTTTATTTAAGTTATGTTCATGAAACTTGTGCAACTGATACAACGCAAGTAACACATGTTATAAATAGTGTTATTGATACAATTATCCATGAAAATATGAAGGATACTGGAATGTTGTAGTTTAAACCCCCAACTGCTTGTTATACTGTTTATGCTAATCTTAAACACGTTACGTGTGACTATGTTTCAGCCAATAATGTTTATTTCATTCCTGCCTTATCATGCGCTTAGCCCGGTTGTGTTTCTGTTGAGCTTCTCATCTTCATTCCTCTCATCGAAAACCAAAATTTTCGGTCGAAAATTTTTTTTATTTCTATTTGACTATTATTTTCAGTCTTTTTTTTTCTTGCTTTAAAGAAAAAAAAGAATAACAAAGTATATTTAAATGCATGAAAATGAATGGGTCCATACAAAAATTATTTTTTTCCCTCTCTCTCTCTCTCTCTCTCTCTCTCTCTCTCTCTCTCTCTCTCTTTCTTTATTATCATAAACTAATATTGTTTTTCTACCTTTCTCTTTTTGTTGTCTTGATTTGCCTCATTGAAAGCCTTTAATTGTTGTGTCATCCAATGTCGTTGTTTTAACTTATGAAATGAAAATTTTCCAAAATTTCATTCAGATACTCTTAGCAAACATAAGCTTTATTGTGTCATCAGCAGCATCACTTGGCATTTTCTGAGAGCAAAGAAGCGAAACACATTCTATTGAAAGATATACAAACGGTAACGAACGCTTTCAACTATTAAGGAGTGCGTGACGGAAGCTAGTTTATTGGTTCAGAATTATCTAGCCGAGCTTCCCGTCTTCAAGCAAATCTGTTTTTATCTTATATAAATGTATATAGCTAGTATTGAGTAAATCTTCTTTTTCACAAGCGAAAAGTCAATTCCTTACAGGATGTAGTGAGCGAGGGGGGATGTTCACTATACAAGCCACGACATGATGGCTCTCCGGTCACAAGAGTTAAGCTTCAGTGATATTTATTATTATTTAATGTCTTCTTATCTTTATATGATCTGTAACAGAGTGAAATTAAACAAAACCAAATCCCATTTTTGCCTTACAAATATATTTTTCTTGGATTTCATTCAAATTTCTATGAGCGTAAGGAAGCATATGAAATTCCCTGTATAAATAATTGTTAGACTCATAAACTGAATCCAGGAGTCTTTATGAGAAAGAAAAAATGTTGAGGAAAACCCTTTTAACTCATTGCTTCAGCTTCAAGAAGTTGGAAAAGTTTAGCTTCTAATCGCAAACGGTACACTTCTGCTTTTGAGTCCACTACAACAACGATAACGCTAATCCAAAAGCTGTTATTAAAAAAATATAATTTACTATTATTCATTCTTCCACGTTTTGAGAATGTTTTGTTTGCATTTTCATCATGTGTATGGGAAGCAAAAGTGAATGTAAGAAGACGAGAGTGAGGAAAAGAAAAGACGTGAATGAATATGTCGAAATGATAGGCAGTCATAGATAGAGAGAAAGAAGGACAGCGAAATAGGAGATGAAAGGCAGAGAGAAACAAGGAGCAAGAGAGGGTTGAAAACTTTCCTTAAATTTCCACATGACTACTTAGAAAGCGATTGTATAAGTAAAGCAGGTCTTCCCTTCAGTTCTTCTATAAACCTTCATCTTCAGAAAATCTGAGAGACTGAGAAAAGGTCAACGACGACAGCTTTTCGTGACAAACTGCCTAATTCTAGAAACTTCAGGTCGATATGGTCACAAAGGCGATTTGGTCACGCGAAAATGCATAAAAATAAGTCTTTCGGGATGTCGAGACTGACTTCTGTGGCTTCAAGTCGGCAAACTTGCAGCGCAATAAATATGTTTATGACCAATGATGTAGGAAGAAAAAAAAATTGAAAAAGCTTCAAAGTTTATAAGAAAGAAGTAGTTAATCACTTGTTCTAGTAGTTGCTTAAGTAATTGCTGATATTCGCTATACAATACAATGGCTGTTACATAAGGAAACAACTTGAAGCTTTTCAAGTTTCTTAGCCGTTTTGCATTCTGCAGACGTCATGCTTTGTTCTTTCCATGTTTAAGATTTTCTTAATTTTCAACTTTATACTGAACTTTCTTTTCTATACTTTAGTCCTTCCACAAGGAGAATATGTTTCAAGTTCCATTTATGAGAACTTTTACGAAGTATATTGATTTCGGTTGTGGTCTGAATGAGTGTGAGGCTTCTCTCGAGCTTTTTCTCTAGTCGTCTCTTTTCATACACACATAACACCCCCAGAGAAGCCATCGTTTGTCGCTCATCCGTGTTAGCCGTCAACGATCCGCCTGACTCTGTGTTTGCAGAAATGAAAACTTTTTTTTTATTTTCATAAAAACAAACATTTTCTTTCTTTTTTTTTCATTCAGAATTATGAGTTTCAAGAAATTTTCCAATTAAACCTCTTGTGTGGCCAGAAGATAATGATTCAGTCTTCGTTTTCATTCTTTTATTCACAAACTTAATCGGCTTCACATAGTCAACTGAGAAGAAGCTCAGCTTTGTTGTTATTTTTGTTTTTGCCCATATTTTGGAAGAAGAAGAAGAAGAAGAAGAAGAATACGACGAAAAGAGAGTGAAAAAGAAAAAAAATCTATAAGAAGTAGTAGAGCGAACAAGTTCTTAAAAGAAAAAAATATAAAATGAAGAAAACAAAATAGCAAAAGATAATTCGTGGTGAGCATGGATATGTGTAGGCTGTCCACTTTAGTTAGGCGTGAGCAAGCGAGCAGGCGAGCAAAAGTAGCAAAAAAGGAAGATATGCCCGTTGTCATAACTTGATTGATTTGCGAATTTTGCGGATTTTATGCTCTTTCTTATCCTTCTGTTCTTTTGATGTTCCGTCGTCTTTTCCCCCTCAATGTATTTCTTTCATAGAAATGTGTCTTTTGCCCAGCAGTTTGTCTGCTTTTGGCTCTTTCTAATGGTCTTTCTCTCGACATTTTTCTCTCACTTTTCTTCATTTTTCCTCTTCTTGTGTGTTCCTTCTTTTTCTATTCAATCAGACAACTTCTTCCTTACTGATTGCCTTTATTCAATCGGTTGCATTCAAAAACATGGTTAAAACGACAAAGCATAAATATGTAGGACCATGGGCCATTCATGTCATTCTTGTTGGTTTACTTTGTTATACTTTTATAATTTAATCGAATTTCTTTTTTTTGTCTCTCTTTACATCCTACCATCCTTGTTACTCTCTCTCTCACATTATCCCCCCTCTTCACATCTCATCTGACTCTCCTCTTAACTCATCCTATCTATCTCATTTCCCCCCTCTCTCTCTCTCTCTTTCCTCATTTGATTCTTTCCATTTTGCCACAAAAACTTTGATTCGAACAAATTGTCTTTAAAATCTCTTTTAAATAGCTTCCGTCTTCAATTAGATGAAAAAGTTGGCGTCTTTAATGAATTCTTTATCTCCCACCCCAACAAGCCTTCATACTAATTTCGTGTAATCTCTTCCTTTCACACTTTCATGCTCTCATAAATAGACTGAAATAAGTGAATTTGACTCTTTTCTTTTTTCAAATCATTCTACAATCTTTTGTCTCCATAATTAAAAAGTCAATCTTTTTTATTTTGCCCCCAAAAACAATGAAAAGCTTAGATAGATTCCAATAAAGTCATTGATGCTCTTGAATTATCTTTTCCAATTGATCTTGTGCTAAACGGTCGTTTCTCCTCCATTTTCATCGTCTTCACCGTCGTCGTCGTCTTCTTTTTTTTCTTCTTCTTCTTCTTCCTTCTCTCATTCTCATTTCACTCAAGCCTAGCAAAAGAAGAGAGTAGGATGAAGCTCTTTCCATATATAATCCTATTGGACCATATTCATGATTTCTTCTTTGTTTATTATATACTTTTCATATTTCTAGTAAATAGTTGACTTGAGGAGCATTAATTTTTTTTTTGCTCAACCAACTGACTTAGCATGATTTAAGGAAAGTCCCAAACGATTAAAACATCAAATCATGCTTGAGTAATCCTTTTTCGGCTTATCTATAAAGTAATGCTTCATAGTTTCCCCCATACTGACTGCTTTTCAAAAAAAAAAATTATTTTTTTCTCCTTTTTTTAGAAGAGAAAAAAAAATTCTTTCTCTCTCTTGCTCACTGTCTTTCTGTCTGTCGCTTTTATTCTGAAAGTAATGGGCTCAACCGTTCTACACCACTACACATCATTAAAATGCTTTTGTGCATTCGGCGCAATTCCCACGTGAACTTTCACGTCAGTCTACGTGTTATTTACGTGAGGCTGCGAAATAAGCTAATTGGGTTAGAAAATCAAGGCGTTAACCAAATATTCTTTAAAAGAATAGCAAAATCGATGTTTTTTTTTGTTTTTGTGAAATGTTTAGCTCTTTCTTCTCATCTCTCTCCCTCCTTCTAATATCTGTTTCACGACTCCCTCTTCATTCTCTCTGAGTCTCTCTTTCCCTCTCTCTTTTCGTCATATACTTTCTTTTCCTTTTTCACTTTCTTTCTATTGCTCTCTTATGCTAAAATACTGTTCAATCAAGCACATTTCTTCCACCCTCGTTTTCATCGTATTTTTATGTTTATGCCTGTGGCACATGTACATACATATACAGAAACTGCGAAAGATGCAAAAAGAAAGACAGAAAAGATATTTTTCCTAAAAAAAAAGAGAGATAAAAATAGAGAATGATGTGAGGAGGCATGAGAGAAAAAAAGAAAAGTGGGGGAGGTTGAGGGAGGATTGAAGAGGGCGTGTGGAAAACTGAAGACTCACGTTGCCAAACACATGCTTACATTCGAACAAATGCTATATTTTACTCGTTTATTTGCATGTTTTTTTTTATTTTATATAAACTTTATTTACACATTCTACTAATTCTAACAGCAACATTGCTTTTCTTTTTCTTCTTCTTCTTCTTCTACTGCTGCTGCTTGAGAAAATAGCTTCTCGTTTGGTAAAGAAAACTGTCTGATTGTTGATTGATTTAATAAAATCTCAGTAAATGCTATTAAGCTAAGTGGCTACTGCTCATCTGCATGCTCAACCCGCCCTCACTAGTACAACCACTGGCGATGTGACCTGTGCTTCGTCTTTTCCATGTCTACTACGCTTTTCCGCTCATTTTCCAATTCAT